GAAAAATGAACTCGGGGTAAAGCCATGGAAATTCCAAAAAGTGCAAAAACTTACACAGCAACGGAAGGAAAATAGACTCAAAAGAGCTAAAGAGTTGCTTCGCTTGGCCGGAAGTGGTGAACTGCAGAATTTGGTTTTCTCCGATGAGAAAACGTTCGTGGTCCAGCAGTTTGTAAACAGACAAAATGATCGTGTTTACTTGCCAAAGAGGTCAGCTGAAAATGTGCACTTTCGGTTGGCCACCAGAACTCAAACGCCGGCCATGGTTATGGTGTGGGCCGTCAAAACAGCCGATGGTCGCTCTCCGCTCGTTTTAATAGACCGTGGCATCAGAATAAATGCCGAATTTTATTGCGAATATATTCTGGAGCACGCAAACATTTTGGCGCAGACCTTGGACATTCCAACAGGATTCAGCAGCAGCGCCTCCCCATAATGGTTTCAAAAATAGGTTCCTCGCTTCATTTCCAGCTCACAATGGCCACCAATATATGCGGATACCAATCCGTTGGACTATTGTGTCTGGAGTATTTTGGAAAGCAACGATGGCACTAAAAAATACCAAAATGTCGATCACCTCAAGAAAGCGCTTCGCCGGGAATGGGCCAAAATACCGCAGAGCAACATTCGGGCAGCGTGTTACTGTTTCATTGGCCGTTTGAAGGCCATAATTCGTGTCAAAGGTGACCAATTCGAACAAATCTAAACTTATTCTAAAATTTGATGATATTTCCGACATTTTTTTCGAGCAGTATCTGATGTCCGGTACCAAATATCATTCTTGTGGAGTGCATATTGCACATATGCGGGTCTTCAAACCTCGAATCAGACTTAAAATCCGAATCAGATAAAATATATACATATATGGTAGCTAAAACTATATCTAAACCGATTATCCACATTTGATGTACTTGCTTCTAGATCGTTTTCGGTGGGATGTACCAAAATTTAAGTCATTTGGACTTATATTGGCCATTTGTTATACAATTAACCCGAAATCGGTTGAAGATATATATGGGAGCTATATCCAAATCTGAACCGATTCTCACCAATTTCAATAGGGCTCGTCCTTGGGCCAAACAAATATTGTTTGGAAAGTTTCATCTCAATCGGATAATGAATGCGGCATGCATTTTGTTCACAACAATATATGGACAGACGGACGGACTGGCATGCATAAATCAACTCAGACAGTGATTCTATGAAGATTCTCAAAAGTAACTATGGCCCTATTTCGCTTACTTCTCCAAAGACATAACACCCTTACCGCCATGTGGTGTAGGGAATAAATACCGAATAATCGTTATCCTTACATTAAGCATATAACATAAAGACATGCAATTTTGTCTGTACTGTAACAAGGATACTCATATCCACTGGATCTATACGAAGCCATACAAAATTAGTTGAATAATAAATCAGCACAATCAAGAGCAGAATTAAACAAATGCCAAATTACTTTTGCAATGCAAACAACAAAATTACTAATTTGCCCATCTCTATACAAGGCCAAAATACATCATAAATTTAATATACCATTGCCAATTTTTTAGGGTATTGCCATAGTTAAAGATTATCTATATCTCTCTCTTAAAAATAAAATAAAAATGCAAAACTACATTTATACAAAGATTAGATAAGACAACCAACCATGATCCTCCATGATACCATACAGTATGGAAACATTTGCAGTTTCCTTCTCATTTTTTGGAAAAACAAAAACTGTTTTTAGCAAAGGAAACAAAAAAGGCCACGAAAAAAAATAAGTGCTTATATGTGTATGTGTGTATATCTGGTTTTTCTAAGCGATGTCTGTCACAGTCCTTGAGTTTTTGTGGAAGCTCTTACCACTTCAAAAATGTAAACATTTACTGTGATGGAAATTTATTCAAGTATGCTATGCGAAGTATCCTATGTTAGGATCTCAAAGCGAAATGTAGAAATGTTTCGTGTGTTTAAGACTAGCTATGTCGACCATGATAAACAATATACTCAGGAATGTAATTCAATAACATCAACAGGAAAATAAATTAAATAGAAATTAAAGTAAAAAAAAGAACTTTTAATACCATCCATCATTTGGAAAAAACTTGAAAATGTTCAAAAATAATTCCAAATACTACAACTTAAATGAAAACCGTTATATGGGGGGCATTACAAAGACGTCGACCTACACACAAATTTTGTAGCCATAGGTTGTAGTACCCATTACGAAATTCAAATACGAAATTAGAAACGATTGCGGTGAATAATGTTGCTGATATCATCAAAATATCGAATATCGGGATGTACCGTTTTATAGGAGCTATACGAAAACGTGGGCCTACATGGCTCATTTACGAACTTAACCTGCCTTCTGGTAAACTATGCATGTATGCAACATTTTAGCCATGTATCTCGATGTAGTGTGGTTACAACAGACAGGCGAATCTACAGGGTGAGATGAAAGAAGTGCAAGCAACTTCAGACTGCTGGCATTTTTAAGCCACTCGTCCGACAGCTGTTAAAATTATTCAAGTGACAGCTCATTATATTGTTTACAAGCGTACAAATATATTTTGGTGAGAATTTTCCAGAAAAATATTCGTGATGTTATTAAAGCGTGATAGTGTGATTTCTTTATATTTGGCTGGAAAACCACAAGTGGCTATCGTTAGAGCACTCCAGCATTTAAATGTTAATAAATCTTTTGTGTCTCGTAGCATCGCTCGTTACCGTGATACTGGTAGCGTAGCCCGACGTTAAGGAAGTGGACGGAAGAAAACAGCAACATCAGCAGAAATGGTTGAAAAGTAAAGAAGCGACTTGATCGAAACCCGTGTCGCAGTGGCCGAAAAATGGCTCGTGACTCGCAACAGATATAAAATAGACGCAAAAGAGCTAAAGAGTTTCTTCGCTTGGCCGAAAGTGGTGAACTGCCGAATTCAGTTTTCTCCGATGAGAAAACACTCGTTGTCCAGCAAAATGATCGTGTTTACTTGCTAAAGAGGTCAGCTGAAAATGTGCACCTTCGGTTGGCCACCAGAACTCAAGCGCCGGTCATGGTGATGGTGTTGGCCGCCATAACTGCCGATGGTCACTCTCCGCTCGTATTAATCGACCGTGGCATCCGTATAAATGCCGAATTTTATAGCAAAAATATTCTGGAGTTTGTTGTAAAGCCTTGGGAACGCAAACATTTTGGCCGCAGACCTTGGACATTCCAACAGGACTCAGCACCATCGCACTCAGCACGCGCCGCCCAAGAATGTTTACAAAATGATGTTCCTCGCCTCATTTCCAGCGCACATTAAGCCACCAAAATCTTCGGATACCAATCCGTTGGACTATTGTGTCTGGAGTATTTGGAAAGCAAGGTTGGCACTAACAAATACCAAGTGCCGATCACCTCCAGCAAGCGCATCGCGGGGAATGGGCCAAAATACCTCAGAGCAACATTCGGGCAGCGTGTGACGGTTTCATTAAAGGCCATAATTCGTACCAAAGGTGAGCAATTCAAACAAATTTAAACTTATTTTAAAATTTGATGCTATTTCGGATATTTTTTGCTTCAATTCAATAAAATTTTAAAGAAATTTAAAAATATGGCGTTTGACTTTGTTGCATTTTTTTACCTCACCCTGTATGTACACTATGGACCTTGTAGCTTACATATTCATAATCCTTCCAGGTAGTGTATCTGTGTTGCCCATTTGGAGAATTGTCAAAAAAACATATGTCACCAGCATTACATACACACATGGATATATATGGCGTAAGAAACGCCAAAGGACCCATTCTTCTATTTTCACCATAATTAAATTTACACCGAATTCGTTCCATTCCAATGTCCATTCACAAAATCGCTCGATGGCAATGGGTTTTGCATACCTACCAAACTACTCCTGCTGTTTTCAAGGCTAACCATGACAAATTGCATGTTACACGACGGCGACGACCTTAAAACGGCTGTTACATGGCTACGTATATAAAATGCCTGCAAATCGGGATAAAACCATATTGTGTCGCATATTGTGTGACCTGAAATTAATCCTCTATTTTCTCTAGTTGATTTTTTCATTCAAAAAAATCATTTAATTAGCATTCCGGATAAATTTTTTCCTTGCTGTGTTAGGAAAGTCCCAACGAGGTCGATTGAGACGACACCATTGTCGTCGCCGGCGCAACCTTGTATAAACACACAGCCAGCGAAGAGAATATTCAAGAACGAATTCTCTCTATCGCCCCAGAGGACAGCTCATCGTCCTCTATGTATTATGTGTGTAAATGTCTGCTTTCTTGAGGGATAATACAACTAATTATCCCACCATTGTCCATAACTGAAACGCGAATATTTTCTGGATAGCTCTTTGTTCCAAATAATCTTGTGATCTAAAATGCATGCTCAAGCAAACAGCTGCCATCCAAAACACAACAATAGTAATGTACACAAAACAAAAATAAAACCAAGTACCACAATGTTTTTCCTGTATAGGCATTTGTAAGTTTTTTTTTTACTCGTCGACGCTGTCTTCTTTCTCTCTACCACACAACATACTTGTGTGTGTGTGTGTTGCTGGTGCTGCAAAAAAATCAATTATTTGGTTGCTGAGCTGCCAGCGGAAACAAAGAACTACATCGTTATCGTTAGCGACGCCCGCCGCCCTTTTATATTTTGCGCAAACACTCACACACACGTATGCATACATTCCCAAACACACATCGTCGACACTCAATCTCATTTCAAATTTCTTTTCTGGAGTAGTTCCACCAAACACACACGAAAAAAACACATCTGCTCTTCTGCCCCGACACCCGACAATGCGAACGTCAGCTGAGCCGCTCTGCAAATCATTTCTTCCAACAATTTTTTGATTCATCGTTGTCGCCATCGTCGACGTCGCAGTACAAAAAGTTCTTCGTTATTCTTTTTTATTGTTGGTCTATGCTTTATTTTCATGCAAGTTAGTTTTTTTTTCTTTCATTCTTTTTTCTTGACAGACTTTTTCTTTGAAACTTACGATAATTTTCTTTTATCCATGCCACTCATTTTGTATTATTTTTTATGTAAATTAACACGCAACACACTTCGTTTAACTTAATTTGATATTTTTCTCTTTATTACTATTTTTTCTGTAATTCTTTTCTTTATCTGCCAGCAAAATTTCTTCGGCCCTCACACACAAATCAAATTGCGAAAAAATACTACCACAGAAAAGGCGATTATAACGACGATTCGCATCGGAATTGAAAACAGGGCTGACAGACAATCGATAAAAATTGTTCGATAGTATAGATTGATTTATTTTTCTATCGATGTTATCGGAGAAATGCCATGTTCCACCAGCACTTGATCAATGTTGTCCGCATTCAAATAAGTACAAGTAAAAACTGAAACAGATAAAAGCTTATAACGTGAAAAATTTGATTGAAAAGTTATTCAAATTCGTTAAATATGTTGAAATGCAGATCATAGAAAACCTCAGATTAACTTCGTATAAGAATACATATAAAAATATATTTATTAATAAAACACGCATTTATTTGAGTAAAACATATGGTTAACTAAAGTGTGGTGGGTTTCTTTATTATACCCTACACAACATTGTGGAAAAGGTATTATGTCCTTATGCATTTGTTTGTAACATGGAGAAGGAAGCGAGACAGATCTTTTAGGTCTAGAAGCTGAAAATCGGTACAGATATAACTACAGCTCCCATATATATGTTTTATCCGATTTGGGGTTTAAAGTCCCTCACAAGCGTAATATACATTCCACAACAATGATCCTTGGTACCAGATAGCACATACAACCTAGAAATAACTCCACCAAATGTTATCAAGATCGGTTCAGATTTGGATATAGCTCCCATATATATCTTCAACCGATTTCGGGTTAATTGTTCATTTTAGCACATACGAACGAATTCAGTTTAGAAGCAAGTACATCTTTCTAGAAGCAAACATCAAAAATGTAAACAGAAAAAAATAATTTTCAAAAAAATATTCTTTTAATTTCAAAAATGTACATTTTTAAAATTTGTATTTTTAATTTAAAATGCTGAAGAACAGTTCTTCAATTATTTAATTATAATGCTCCCCAGAATATACAGTTATAAGCTGTAGGTTCAAATCTCTCAACTCCTCAATCAAACGCTAGAAAATCGTGGAAAAGCAACATCCCTTTCAAATTGAAACCAAACTACATATACAGGGTGGGATAAAAAAAAAACTGAAAACAGAGATAAATAAAGACAAACGCCATAATTTCAACATTTTTTTTAAATTCTATTGAATGAAAGCAAAAACTGTCGGAAATAGCATCAAATTTAAGAATAAGTTTAGATTTGTCACCTTTGGCATTGGTCACCTTTGGCACGAATTATGGCCTTTGAACGGCCAATGAAACCGTCACACGCTGCCCGAATGTTGCTCTGCGGTATTTTGGTCCATTCCCGGGAAGCGCTTGCTTGAGGCGATCGACACTTTGGTATTTTTTAGTGCCAACCTTGCTTTCCAAAATACTCCAGACACAATAGTCCAAAGGATTGGTATCCGGAGATTTCGGTGGCCATTGTGCGCTGGAAATTAAGCGGGGAACCTCATTTTGTAACCATTCTCGGGTGGCGCGCGCTGAGTGCGATGATGGTGCTGAGTCCTGTTGGAATACCCAAGGTCTGCTGCAAAAACGGTTTGTAGTTCCAGAATATTTTCGCGATAATATTTGGCATTTATCCTGATGCCACGATCTACTAATACGAGCGGAGAATGACCATCGGCTGTTATTGCGGCCCACACCATCACCATGGCCGGCGCTTGAGTTCTGGTGGCCAACCGAAGGTGCACATTCTCAGCTGACCTCTTTGGCAAATAAACACGATCATTCAGTCGTCTCTCAACTCTCGTTGACTTTAGACTACGTGCGCGCCGTTTCGCTTTCTTTTTTATGCGTTTTGTTTGTTTTGCTTTGAACACCAATACACACACAAATACACACATTCCTTCCATCTAACCAATAACACAAACATTATTTTATTTGGTGATTTTGCTGAAATTTAATATTCCTAATTTCAACAAAATATACAATTTTCTGCGAAAATGGGTGATGAGGAGCCGCCTCCTCGTTTAGACCCGAGGAAAAGAATTGAGCTTTTTAGCAACCCTGGAAGCAAGAAGTTTAAAAATAATCAGCCTTCTATGCAAAATAAAATGCCGCAGTGCTCTGCAAAAACAACACCAGCAAAAGAAAACACCACTCTCACACCATATGAAAATCAATATTTTAATGATACAAAGTCCATCTCCACCAACACAACTAACAACTGTCACTCCAACAATAACAATCCCTCCAATCCATCCAATATACCCAAAAACACAAACAAAACAGATATTTACAGCTATGATAACTATGAAAACCAAACAATTCTTTACAGCCCAGCCCATCCAGGTCCATATTATGTACTTCTTACTTCTGATGAGCCCATTTGCCCTAGAAGAAAGAACTCAGAATTACATTTGTATGCCAAATTAGCCAGTGCCAACATAAATGCTCATTTTGTATCAAAGAATATTGCATATAAAACCTTCCGCCTGAGCTTCAACAATTATAACTCGGCAAATAATTTTGTTTTGGATCCAAATGTAAAATCTATTGGTTTGAATGCTTTTATCCCAGATAGATTTGTACAAAAATTTTATGTTATTAAATCCGTACCAGTAGAATTCACTGGCAAAATGATATATGATCAAATCAACAGCAGCGACAATGATTTCAAAGCTGTATCAGTATATCGTTTCAAATACAAAAATGAAAATGGTCAGTATGTGCCGTCGCAAACCATTAAAGTAGGTATTGTAGCGGACTACGTTGTAAAAGAACTTAAAATGTTCAACTCTATAGTGGAGACGGATTTATATATTCCACTTGTACGCTTATGTAAAAATTGCGGTCGTTTAGGTCATATAGCCGTAAAATGTAGAGCCAAAAAAAGATGCCTTCTTTGCGGGATAAACATTGAATGTCCCACAAACTGCACAGAGCCAAAATGTGATACATGTTTGTCGACAATTAAATGCAAAACATACTGTATTCTACCCAGATGTATACTATGCAACATGGAAGATCACAATGCCATGGATGTCAAAAAATGCAAAAGATACAGCAATGAAAAAAATATTCTGGAGGCTATGGCAATCACCAACCTTTCAAGGAAAGAATGTATCCCTAAAGTTTCAAACAATTACTTTGAAATTTTAGATGAACCAAATTATGAAAATCAATTTCCCCAAATTTCTAAAACAAGCAGAAGACCAGTTACTTCCTTCAATGATGAACTCAACAGAAGGAGAACTAAAGTCAATTACAATAAAGTAGCAGCATCAATACCTCGTAGAACACATATTACAGCTGAACAGGAAACGATTGTACCCTCTAAACCATCCTTTGAATTCTCAAATTTTTTCAAAGTTTCTGAGTATGAAAAAATATTATCCACTTTCACTCAACAAATGGCTGCCGCATTAACCAATGCCAAGTGTACAGAAGGATTACAGATCTTAGACAGTTTTTCAAATGCCTTAAAAGCACCAGCAATAGATGGACCTTCCAGTTCTAACCAAACCGAACATGATAATCTTACAGCACAACATACAAAGTTTGAATAAAAATAAAAATTATTTAGAACTTTACTTAAACAAATTTTCTGTCGATATATGCATCTTAAGCGAAATTTTTAATGTAGATGAAAATGCATCATCATCTTACGTAAACAATTATGGATTATTCTGTAAAAAAAGAATCGACAATTATGGTGGCGTTGCCATCCTGCACAAAAAAACTATTAAAATGAAAAAATTACCTTTTGCATCGGATTTAGACATCTTAATATGTCAAACTACAAACCTGTCTCAAAATTTAACGATTGTCTCAGTATACTTTCCGCATTCTGTAAAATCCAATGTTTTAAAAACTGAAGTATCAAAACTTTTAATCTTTCTAAATGGAAAATCAAATGTCATTATTGGCGGGGATTTTAATGCAAGATGTAAAGCATATGGTGACGTTTTTGACACAGTTCGAGGATCCACTGTGCAAACCTTGATGGACAGTTCGGCATTTCGTTGTGTTAATGATGGCTCAGCAACCTTTAAAAAGAATCTATTTGACAGTTCTTTCGGTTCTGTGTTAGATCTTACCTTCACAAATATGTCTTCAAACTTTAATTGGAATGTAAAAAATACAAGCATAGGAGGAAGCCACCACAGACCAATCCTTATTAACATAGATAATTTCACATCAAAGCAACAGTACTTCCTAGCAAAAAAACATCTCTTCAAAAACTTATCAAATCTAAAAATTGATTCCAATATGAATGATATTCAATCGAAGCTAAAATCAACAATAAAAAATTCAACTTTTCTCATTACTGCTGAAACAAAATTTCAAACATGGTGGAATAATGACATTACCATACTCTTACGTCAAAAAGAGGCCGCAGAACAGAAATTTGATAGATACAAAACCACTGAAAATGCCCTGAGTGCAATCAACGCTATATCTAAATTCAAAAAAGCCGTAAAATGTGCCAAAAATCGCGACAAACGTCGTAAACTGTCAGATTTAAGCCAATTATCTAATTCAAAATCGCTTTTCCGTTATGTAAAGAGCTGTAAATCGGTTTTCGAACCCCAATCTGCTTCTAAATGGAACACTGACAACAACGAAGCCTTCTTACGTCATTTGAGTGAACAGGTTCCCAACAACAGACAAACTATATCCATTTCAATTTATAACAATCAATCTGCAAATTTCTCCATGGAAGAACTAGACAATGTTCTACAGCAAAAAACTAAACCATCTGCAGCTGGTCTGGATGGAATCACTTATGAAATGGTTAATAAACTATCCCAAGATAGTAAGCAGCACCTTTTGAATTCCTTTAATAATCAATGGAAAAACTGTGAGTTTTTTGAAGAATGGAGGAGAATAAAAATTGTTCCCATACCGAAAAAAGGAAAAAATTTAGACATCTGCACAAATTTTCGGCCAATTGCTTTAATATCTGTACTGGCAAAGATTTTAAACCTCATGGTCAAACAAAGGCTCAATGATTTTCTAGATGAACATAAAACTCTTCCACCTAGATCTTATGCATACCGCAAACATGTGTCAACTTCAACATGCATTAATGACATACTACACACAATAAACACCTCCAAAGAAAAAAATGACAAGGTGATTGTTCTCTCGATGGATGTATCGAAAGCCTATGAGTGTGTCGATATAAATTACCTGAAGAGGATTTTAATAGAAATAAACATTCCACTCCAAATAAGATTATGGATAATCAATTTTCTCTGCAAAAGGACTCTTTGTATGGGAAACTCCACCCTAAATATATACAATGGGATCCCTCAAGGCAGTTGTTTAAGCCCAACACTATTCAACCTATACACAATAGGCCTCCATGGTTTAGCTGATGAAAACACAAACATTTTCCAATATGCGGATGATTTTATTTTGCTTGTGGCAAGCCATGACTTTGATAGTGCCAACAATATTTTACAAATCAAAACCAATAACATGGTATCCTTATTAAAAAAACTAAACCTTGACGTCAATGTTGAGAAAACTTCAGTAATGTACGTGGCTAAAGGAGGTCGGAGAAATCCCAACATTTTACTAAATGGAGTCCAAGTAAATGTTGTTAAGTCCATCAAATTTTTAGGGAGACATATTAAAAACAGTCTATCACTCAAGGAGCACTACGAAGAGGTGATGATATCCTGCAGAAATACTGTTAATGCTTTAAAAATGGTCACGGGTCCAAAAAGTGGAATTCATCCCGCAAAAGCTATAAACCTGTCAAAATCACTTATCTTTTCAAAGACCGAATATGCAATCTCATCGATGGCTCACAGACCAATGTATATAAACAAGAAGCTAACAAGCTTTCAAAATCAGTTGTTAAGAAAAAATTTGGGACTGGTGCCTTCCACTCCAAATCATGTGGTATACGCTCTTGCTGGTATGCTACCAACAGATTTAAGAGCTCAACACTTGGCGGCTAAAGAATTGATAAGACTTAAAATATACAACTCTTCTCTGTATGAATACTTCACCTCAAATACCTCAAGAAAAACTAGTCTTGGATATGTCTATACAAAGTTTCGCACAATTTTTGAAAATCTCAAAATTGGTTACAATCAACATCCGACCAACAAGGTAGATTTCATGCTGGATATATTTAATACTACCAAAAACAATACACCAACAGAATATTTCAAAGCACACTACTACGAATTAATTAACGACTTCAGATCCGAAGGCGTTTCTATTTGGGCGACGGATGCTGCTGTTTTTAACAACAACACAGGCTGCGCTGTCTGCAATATATCTGCTAATCAAAATTTTGTTTTCAAAATTAATGAAAAACTTTCTTCTCTTACTGGTGAACTATGTGCAATTGAAAAGGCAATTGATTTGATGATCGAAGACGGTGTCAGCACAGCTGCTTTATTTACAGACAGCAAAAATGCTTGTCTTCTGCTTAAAAACAACACATCTCACAATTTCACTGTGTACAATATTCTAAACAAAATAGTTAATTCGCATTTAATTAAAATCTCGTTTGTTTGGACACCTTCCCATGTCGGTATACCAATCAATGAAACAGCCGATTATTTTGCGAAGCATGCAGCAAATGTTGGTTCACCAATCAACTTCTGTCTGTCGGTCACAGATGCGTCGAAACGCATTGAGTCACTCCTGTGGAATGAGTTTATAGAAAATTACAAGGACATCTCACGGACTAAAGGAACTTACTTCTACCAATTCTTCCCGGCGCCTGCTAAACAGCCCTGGTTCTTTTCATCAAACATGAAACCTGAAAACATAAAGATTGTTAATCGATTGCTCACTGGTCATACTTACACCAAAAAATATTTCCACAGGATTGGAATTGCTGACTCAAATCTTTGTGAAACCTGCAACGAAATTGAAGATGAAAAACACATAATTTTTTTCTGCAAAAAGCATCAAAATCATAGGAATGATTTTGATTTGTTCAAGAAATTTAATAACTTACCGGAAATCCTGATGTCCAAAAACCAACAAAATATAGATGAATTAATCAACTTTATTGCACTTTGCAAAATTGAAGTTTGACTTTTATTTGTAAATAATCATCATATTTGCTGACAGTTCTTTATTTTTTCCTTTAGTTTTGATTTTTTTTTTGTTTTGATTTCTTATGTATTTCATTCATATCACTACATTCTGTAAACACACATATACTGTAAACAAAAAGAAAACGAAAATAAAAGAGTACTGATACTTTTCAAGTAACCAATAACCGGTCATGGTGAATGGGCACGAAAGTGTTCTAACCACCAACATACTTGACGACGTAGAAGTACAAAAAAAAAAAAAAAAAAAAAACACGATCATTTTCTATATTCTTCTACCATGATATGTACCATGGTAGAAGAATAAAGGTAGATGCATCAACGCTTGGGAACATTGATATGTCAAAATTTTTAAAATGTTTTATAAAAATAAGTGGATTTTTAAATGTTTTTTTATACGACGCAAATCAGAGGTTTTATAAAAAAATTTTTCTATAGTTTTTACAAATTTTAATTATTTTTCATTCAACATTTTCAATTCCAAAATCGGTTTGAAAGTTCATTATCCCAGCAGCTGTGTCGATGCGACTACCTGTATTCTTCTACCATGGTACCATGGGTAGTTGAATATTTGTGTACGCTACGTCCACTTTTAGGTAACGCTGTTAGAAGTCATATCATCAGCTGATTATTCTCTTCGTATCCCATTCGTAAACACCGTTACACATCTTGTTCTCTCTGTTCGTAAACAAGCTTTTTTTTTCATGTCTCCATATTCGTAACGTTTGGAACGTTTTTGACGGGAACGGAATTTCCCAAATAAATTAATTTAATTTTCAAAATTATAAACAAATTGCACAAATTCGGCCGGCAAATTCAAACTGAGAACAATGTGTATTAACCACCTGCAACAACACATTACACCATCGCGAAAGCTGTGCCGTGAGGGTCGTGTGAGTTTGGTCTGTTATTTGGTGACAATATCGTTGATTTTATTGCCATCCATACCACAACTCTACTATGGAGCGGTGCCAAATGTGTGGGGAGCCCGAATGTGGGGACCGGCATTATATTTTGCCCTCATCTGTATGGTAATACGGTTTGTGCTGCGCGACATAGATTATCAGGTAGGGCGAAAGAAACTTAAGTAAATGTTCTCAGGGGATTTGGAACTATCCCTTTGTTTTTCTTTTTATTTTTAGGTTGGCATACGATCGGCATTTCTGGGCTTTGTGGAAGCCATTAGCATATTGGCAATTTGTTTTGCACCCGAAGTCTGGAAACAATTCGGCACATATGGTCTGTTTATGGCATTTTTTCATTACTCCGAATTCCTGGCCATTGCCTATTGCAATCCGAAAAGTTTAACCGTGGACTCATTTATGTTGAATCATTCATGGGCCTATGGCATGGCTGCTGCTGCCAGTTGGATAGAATTTGTATTGGAAGTTCAATTGTTGCCCAGCTTTAAAGATATCTACTATCTGTGGCTGGTGGGCGTATTATTGTGTATATTTGGGGAAGTGGTACGCAAAACCGCAATGGTTACGGCAAGCAGTAGTTTTACACATTTGGTGAGTGAGTTTCTATTGAAATGATGAGACATTTTTTTGTTTTGTTTTTTTATACCTTCGACCATGGCATGGAGGGTATATTAAGCTTGTCATTCCGTTTGTAATACCTCGAAATATACATTTTAGACCCCACAAAGTATATATATTTTTGATCAGCATAAAAATCTATGTCGATTTAGCGTTGTCCGTCCGTATGTGGAAATCACTCTAGCTTCCGAACGAAAGGAAGTAGGTTGATAAAATTTTACTTAAATGTATATTATGACTGCCGGAAATAGAAAATGGGTCATGTACGTCCACGTTATGGTATAGCCTCCATATAATGGTACTTCCCTATTTTCGGTAGTTTGGTGATTTAAGCGACATTATTCACCAGAAATGTTTCAAATTTGGTATTTGAAGTTCGTAATGGATACTACAGCCTATGACAGAAAATTGTCTATGCAGGTCCACACCTTCGTATAGCCCCCATATAACGGCAACACCCGATATTCGTTATTTTGATGATTTTGGCGACATTATTCACCGGATTTTTTTCAAATTTGGTATTTGAAGTTCATAAAGGATACTACAGCCTATGACAGAAAATTGTCTGCGCAGCTTCACGTCTTCGTATAGCCCCCATATAAAGGCACCTCCCTATTTTCGGTTTTTTGATTATTTTAGCGACATTATCCACCGGAATTGTTTCAAATTTGGCATTTGAAGTTCGTAATGGATACTACAGCCTATGACAGAAAATTGTCTATGCAGGTCCACGTCTTCGTATAGTCCCCATATAACGGCAACACCCTATTTTCGGTATTTTGATGATTTTAGCGACATTATTCACCGGAATTTTTTCAAATTCGGTATTTGAAGTTCATAATGGATACTACAGCCTATGACAGAAAATTGTCTGTGCAGCTTCACGTCTTCGTATAGCCCCCATATAAAGGCACCTCCTTATTTTCGGTATTTCGATGATTTTAGCGACATTATTCACCGGAATTGTTTCAAATTTGGTATTTGAAGTTCGTAATGGATGTTACAGCCTAACACTGAAAATTGTCTGTGCATGTCCACGTCTTGGTATATCCCCCATATAGCGGAACCACCCGATATTCGGTATTTTGTTAATTTTAGCGGCATTATTCACCGGAATTGTTTCAAATTTGGTATTTTAAGTTTGTAATGGATACTGCAGCCTATGACAGAAAATTGTCAGTTCAGGTCCACACCTTCGTATAGCCCCTATATAACGGTACCTCCCTATATTCGGTATTTTGCTGAATTTAGCGACATTATTCACCGGAATTGTTTCAAATTTGGTATTTGAAATTCGTAATGGATACTACAGCCTAAGACAGAAAATTGTCCATGCAGATCCACGTTTCGGTATGGCCCCCATATAAAGGCACCTGCCTATTTTCGGTATTTTGATGATTTAAGCGACATTATTCACCGAACATGTTTTAAATTTGGTATCTGAAGTTCGTAAGACAGAAAATTGTCTGTGCAGGTTCACGCCTTCGTATAGCCCCCATATAACGGCACCTACCGATATTCGGTATTTAACATCATTTCTAATAACAATTCTTGTAATTTCGGCATGTTTCTTGTGCGTAACAACAGCTGGATATTATCATCCGCATCGTAAACAAATAACAGGCACAATTGGAAATTGTAGAGGATTTTCCTGTGGATAATGAATATTTGTTTGCGGATATGTTTGAATATAGACAACTTGTAAAGTTATTTTAACCATAAATAAATTTTAAATGCAATGTCTTGTCTGTACTAATTGATTGCTTTGGGGATTATATGTATATGCCGAGCCGGCAGTTTTCCTGCATTTTTGTTTTGGTCTCCTAAAAATTAGAGTTGCGGCAGAAAATCTTAATGCGCTGCTAATATGTCTTCTTAAATGATTTAAAAATCGACAACTTATTCCTAGGAGAAAGCATTTAAGATTTCTAAAGAATCGAACAGAAAGATCTGCGAAAAATCTTCTAAATGTCCTCAAAAAAAATTCACATATTCATTTCTAGAAGAAGACTTTAAAAAAATTTGAAGGACACTCTAAGACTCAGACTTTAGGGTCTTATTAATATTAGCGTGCTCAGCCAGGGGCTATATATATTTTAGAAACAATCACAATTAATATTGCGGAACACTGCGCATTTGGAGAAACTAACCGCAAGATTGTTCATGATATTTTTATTCTACCGCATGTATCTATAGTTTTATCCTTCATAAAAAATGATGACAGTGAGACTTCAGAGCCCCATTGAAACGGATATTTTGATCAGCATGAAATATTTTACGTCATTTCTAATAACAATTCTTATAATATCGGTATGTCCCCTGGGCACAGCAATAACACGCACAACTGGAAATTGTGTCGGACTTGCTTGTGGATAATGAACATTTGGTTGGAGTTATGTTTGCTCAGAATAAACGTGTAATGTTATTATAAAAATAAATACATTTATAAATTTAATGGCTTTGTATAATTTATTTTTACGCCGGAAGGTATTTCTAATTGATTGCTGCAACCAACTGTAGACTGCTGTCTTTTCTAAGCCACTCGTCCGACAGCTGTAAAATTTAATCCAGTGACAGCTCATTATATTGTTTACAAGCGTACAAAATCATTTTGGTGAGAATTTTCCAGAAAAAAAGTTATTCGTGATGGAATTCAAGCGTTATACTGTGATTTCTTTATATTTGGGCTGGAAAACCACAAGTGGCTATCTCTACAGCACTCCAGTCTTTTAAATGTGAATAAATCTTTTGTTTCTCGTACCATCGCTCATTAACGTAATACTGGTGGCGTAGTCCGACGCCAAGGAAGTGGACCGAAGAAGAAAACAGGAACATCAGCAAAAATGGTTCGAAAAGTAAAGAAGGGACTTGATCGAAGTGGCCGAAAAATGTCTCTTGAAGTAAAGAAGCGACTTGGCCGAAAAATGTCTCTTAAAGTGAACATATTGCAATATTCCATTCGGCAAATATTGAAAAATGAGCTCGGCGTAATGTTATTGAAATTCCAAAAAGTCCAAGAACTTACACCGCAATAGAAAGAAAATAGACGCAAAAGAGCTAAAGAGTTGCTTCGCTTGGCCGAAAGGGGTGAACTGTCGAATTTGGTTTTCTCCGATGAGAAAACATTCTTTGTCAAGCAGTTTGTAAACAAACAAAATGATCGTGTTTACTTGCCAAAGAGGTCATCTGAAAATGTGCACCTTCGGTTGGCCACCGGAACTTAAGCGCCGGCCATGGTTATGGTGTGGGCTGCTATAACAGCCGATGGTCGCTCTCCGCTCGTATTAATCGACCGTGGCATCAGAATAAATGCCGAATATTATCGCGAAAATATTCTGGAGGGTGTATTAAAGATTTGGGCACGCAAACAGTTTGGCCGCAGACCTTGGACTTTCCAATAAGACTCAGCACGCGCCACCCAAAAATGGCTTCCAAATGAGGTTCCTCGCTTCATTTCCAGCGCACAATGGCCACCAAAATCTCCGGATACAAATCCGTTGGACTATCGTGTCTAGAGTATTTTGGAAAGCAATGTTGGCACTTACAAATACCAAAGTGTCGATCACCTCAAGCAAGCGCTTCGCCGGGAATGGGCCAAAATGCTGCAGAGCAAAATTTGGGCAGCGTGTCACGTTTGAAGGCGATAATTCGTGCCAAAGGTGACCAATTCGAACAAATTTAAAATTATTCTACAATTTGATGCTATTTCCGACATTTCTTGCCTTCATTCAATAAAATTAAAAAAAAATGTACAAATTAGGACGTTTGACTTTGTTGCAGTTTTTTATCTCACCTGATTATCTCTAATTTCAATAGGGTTAGTCCTTGGGCCAAACAAATAACATCTGCAAAATTTCATCTGGATCGAGTAATAAATGCGACTTGTACTTTGTTTCCAAAAATACGTGGACAGACGGACGGACGGACATGTATAAAGCGACTCAGAATGTGATTCTATGCAGATCATCAACTAAAGGGTCCATCTCGTGTCCTTTTGCCTGTTACAAATAAATGTACAAATACATAATACCCTTACCACAGTGTGGTGTAGGGTATAAAAATGTGGACAGGTATTCATAAATTTTATCACCCGAACCTAGGAAAAAGTGCCATCATTGGAGTGCTCTAACGCCAGCCACTTCTGGTTTTTCTAACCAAATATAAAGAAATCACTATTACGCTTGAATTCCATCCTGAATAACTTTTTTTTCTGGAAAATTCTCGCCGAAATGTTTTTGTACGCTTCTTGTAAACAATATAATGAGCGGTCACTGGAATAATTTTAACAGCTGTCGGACGAGTGACTTGGAAATGACAGCAGTCTGAAGTTGGTTGCAGTTTTTCCATCTCACCTTGTAATTGATTGCTGTGAAGATTATATGAATATGCCGAGGCTAGTTAGTTGTGGTAATAGTTTACACTGCATCTCTTAAAAATTATCATAGATCATCGTGTGTAATTTATAGATTTATGATCCCGATGACTGCCTCAATACGTTTCATAGCGGTTTGATAGGTTTGTTGGTGTCTGGCTAGCTTGTTATGCATAGCCTTCCTGGTAACTCCGAGTAAAAAGTGTGGGCATGCATGCGATATTTGCAAAATGCTCCCAGCGAGGACCACAAATTCTACGAGATGTGGTATTTTGAAATCTTATTTGTAAAATAGGAGTTCACAGCATACCACACTATTTTTAGCCCTGAATATTAAACCCCTCGACAAGTTATAATAATAACCCATTTTCCGTCTCTTTTCCAGGTCCAATACGAAAAAGCCGATGATCACAAACTGATCACACATGGCGTCTATGCATACTCACGACATCCGTCCTATGTCGGCTGGTTCTGGTGGTCAATTGGAACACAAATAATACTTCTGAATCCTGTCTGCATTATTGCCTATACGATTATAAGTTGGAAATTCTTTCACGATCGTATCTACTGTGAAGAGTTTTCATTGCTGAATTTCTTTCGTTCCGACTATAAGACGTATCAGCAAAACGTTCCAACGGGTTTGCCATTTATTAAGGGATTTATATTGGAATAAATGGCGTCAAAAAACATATAGATTTTCCCAAAACAAGAAGTCTGTTTTTTTTTGTTTTATTTTATTTTAACAAACAAAACAAATTTTGATATGTATTTTATTATTTTGAAAAAAAAAAAAAAAAAAACCAACAACAGTATACAAGAAATAACAAAATTTGCCAACTAATTAGATTAATTTCCCTGTCTATGAATAATAATTGTATTTTGAAACGGAAAACAAAAGAATTATATTTCATGTAAAATGGACATCATCATTAATTAATTTTAATTAATCATATTATAAATTAAGATTACTAAATGTAAGTAAATGTATATGTGTGCATATGCAATAAATGATGTAATAGTTCCAATTTATGATTAAAAAAAATAGAAGAAATGTACGAATGTGAAAGATGCAACATGAAGTTCAAATGGAATTACAAAAGATACCAGGACTACAACTTTTCTTGGATTTAAGGAATTTTCCTGAGGCCCAGAGCTCTGTGAAAAATTACAACATTGCATTGGATGTAAATGAAAGAAATATTTTGGCATTTTGTTTTTATACATTACAACACTATGTGTTGGGGGTATTATACGTTTGTTTGGGTCAAAAATTATGTAACACCTCGAAATATTGGTTTCCACATAGGAAAGTATATATGGATCTTCATATCTCGGCGAGATGTGTCGATCTAGCTATGTATGTCCGTCCGTCCGTCTATCCGTCTTTCCATATTAATTTGTAATCAAGCTACAGGTCGCAATTATGAACCGATCCTCACGAAATTGAAAATGGAAATGGGGTTAGGGTCAGAATAGAACCCTATTGTTTTTGGAAATGATCGCACGATGGACCAAAAACAGAAAGTCTTCCTGATTTTGCAGTTGCTCTATAGGCCACAATTATGAACCAATCGACGCGAAAACTTACATGGAGTTAGAGTTTGAGACTGGGCAGAGATAATTAGCGGCTAAAATAGACCCTAACTTTTAGTTTAGAAAATAGGAAAATTTCAACTAAACCGCTAATATTTTTAATCCCAGTCAAATCACAAATACATTAAAAGATCACTTCTGGCCATTAAAGTGATGCTAATTGCCAAGCAATCGGATATATAGCAAAATAGGTACAATATATATGTAAAAAATTGTTCTTATTTATTCTGCTTATAAATCAAGAACCGCTGGGCCGATTTTCACAATTCCCATCAATTCGGAATGGTCTCTTGCCAGAAAAGGATAAAATCTAACCATAGTATGGATCAGCATAAAATTCTATGTCGATTTAGCGAAGTCCATCCGTCTGTGGAAATCACTCTAGCTTCCGAAAGAAATGAAGTAGGCTGATAAAATTTTACTTAAATGTTTATTATGATTGCAGGACTTTTCAAATTAAAAATGTAGATCCACGTCTTCGTATAGCCCCCATATTAGGGCACCTCCCTATTTTCGGTATTTTGGTGATTTTGGCGACATTATTCACCGGAATTGTTTCAAATTTGGTATTTGAAGTACGCAATGGATACTACAGCCAAAGACAGAAATTACCTGTGCAAGTCCAGGTCTTCGTATAGCCCCCATATAGTGAAACCTCCCGATATTCGGTATTTTGATAATTTTAGCGACATTATTCACCGAAAATATTTTAAATTTGGTATTTGAAGTTCGTAATGGATATTTCAGCCTAAGACAGAAAATTGTGTGTGCATGTCCACGTCTTCGTATAGCCCCCATATAACGGCACCTCCCTATATTCGGTATTTTGATGATTTTAGCTACATTATTAACCGGAATTGTTTCATATTTGGTATTTAAAGTTCGAAATGGATACTACAGCCTATGACAGAAAATTGTCTATGCAGGTCCACGTCTTCGTATAGCCCCCATATAACGATACCTCCCTATTTTCGGTATTTTGGTGATTTAAGCGACATTATTTACCGGAATTGTTTCAAATTTTGTATTTGAAGTACGTAATGGATATTACAGCCTATGACAGAAAATTGTCTGTGCAGGTCCACGTCTTCGTATAGCCCCCAATAACAGTACCTCCCCATATTCGGTATTTTGATGATTTTAGCGACATTATTCAGAGGAATTGTTTCAAATTTGGTTACTTAAGTTTGTAATGGTTACTGTAGCCTAAGACGGAAAATCGCCTGTTTAAGTCCACGTTTTCGTGTAGCCCTCATATAATGGTACCACCCAATTTTCGGTATTTGGATGATTTTAGCGACATTATTCACTGGAATTGTTTCAAATTTGGTATTTGAAGTTCGTAATGAATACTACAGCCTAAGGCAGAAGATTATCTGTGGAAGTCCACGTCTTCGTATAGCCCCCATATAACAGTACCTCCCGATATTCGGTATTTTGATGATTTTAGAGACATCATTCACCGAAAATGTTTCAAATTTGGTATCTGAAGTTGGTAATGGATACTACAGCCTAAGACAGAAAATTGTCTGTGCAAGTCCACGTCTTCGTATAGTCCCCATATAACGGTACCTCCCGATATTCGTTATTTTGATGATTTTAGCGACATTATTCGCCGAATTTTCAAGTTTCGCATTTGAATATTGTAATGGCTTATGACTAAAGTTGCCCATGCATGTCCACATCGTCGCATAGACCCTAATATAATGGCTACATTCGGTATTTTTAAGATTTTATCCGTTTTTTTTTTTTTTTTTTTTTTGAAAATGGCCAAACTCGTTTCCAATGGTGGAGTATATTCAAAGTTCTGTTTTTATTTCAAATCAGTAAACTTAAATTTCAACGGTATAACACAGGTATTCATAAAGTAATTCTTGAAGGCATTCTCCGTCGGATAGTTATATTCCATTTTAAAGTTGCGCACAATATTCGCCAATGTAATCTCCAGTTGTAGATCAACAATACGTTTTCCCACACACGAACGTGGCCCAAAGCCAAATGGTAAAAATATAAATGGATTAGTATTTCGGGCTGTGATATCTTCGGCACTGGAGGAGCGTAACCAACGTTCTGGAATAAATTCTTTGGCCTTGGTGAAATATTTTTCCTCTTGCAGCAGGAGATTTGAAGTCAAAAAGACATTTGTACCCTTGGGCACTTGATAGCCGCTCAAACACAAATCCTGGCCCAAGGCTCGCATATTGCCAAACACCAGAGGATATGTGCGCAACGATTCCTTAATGCAAGCTCTGAGATAGGGTACATTTTTCATATTTTCCATTGTAAAGTTTTCACTTTTGCCAATATTTGTTAAAATCTCCTGCCTTAACTTCTCTTGTTTCTCAGGATTGGTGGCCAGGCACAACATTATGGCTGACATAACCGAGGATGTGGTATCAACACCGGCAATAAGCATATCAATAGCCATAATAATGGCAATTTTCCGATCGATTTTGATTAATTTCTCCAAAACACTTTTACCCTCCGCCTGATCGCCACGAGTCTCAATCCGTTGCAATGCCTCATCAACAAATTTGCTACAAATGTCCGTAACAGTGTTCATGGAATTCTCAAAACGTCTATAGCTTGGCGTTTTAATGTATCTGTAAAGGGAGGGTTTTACGCCCAGGTCGTAGAGGGATCTGCTGAAGCTTTGTAAATTATCGAAGAGCTCTTGAGCCTCAGGCACTGAGGCCTTGTTGCGCACCAAACCCAAATCTTTGTCCAATGCAATAACAGCCACGGACTCAAAGGCCAAACGTTTGATTTCGGAGAGGAAATCTTCGGGAACTTCAAGGGTGGATGGGTTACGTATTTTGCGAATTCTGAAAGACAAAGAAAAATGTGAGTAGGTTCGATAGAAAAAAATAAAGAAAGGATAGTTTCGAATAACTGACTTTAAGAAAAATCTTCACCTAAAGAAGGGGAGTTCCTAGAATGATAGCATAGGAAGAATAGGGTAACTGAAGCTTTTTTATATAGCCTTTTGAAGTTCTTAGATACATGTAAGTCTGCCTGATGGTTTTCTATGCCTAAAAGACATTATTGAAGTCTTCTATAACCAGAAGGACTTAATTAACCCGAAGGGCTATAAGAGGTTAGAAGACACTTTTTAATCTAGAAAGCTTCAGAAACTCTTCTAGGAGAACTTAAGCACCTCTTCAGTAACTAGACGGCCTCAATGACCAGAAGTCGGTCAAAAAGCTACTCTATGACTAGAAGACGCTAGAAGACCCTCAGCGACTCTTCTAGAACTGGTAGACTTTCAGAAGCTTCTCACTAACTAGAATACCTTTAGAAGCTCTTCAATGACCAGAAGTAGTTCAAAAGCTACTCAATGACTAAAAGACGCTCAGGAACTTTAAGAAGGCCCTCAGGAACTCTTTAAGAACTGGTAGTCTTCCTTGAAAAGTATTTCATTTGCTAGAAGCACTTCAGAACAGATATTACGGCTAGAAGTGCTTCAAAAGGTCTTTTATGGAGAACTCCAGAGACTGTGATAAGAACTTCAGGAAGCGAGATAGACCCATTGTTACTTTTGAGGATCTTCACAGAATCACTATCTGGGTCGATTTATGCATGCCAGTCCGTCCGCCCGTCTGTCCATGTATTATTGTGAACAAAATGGAGGTCGCATTTATAATCCGATTGAGAAAATATTTTTTTTTTTTTGGCCCAAGAAAATATTTTTTTCTGGCCCAAGGACGAACCCTATTGAAATTGCTGATAATCGGATCAGAATTAGGTTAGCTCCAATATATCTTCAACCGATTTCGGGTTAATTGTGCACCAAATGGCCAATATCAGTCTAAATTACCTGAATTTCGGTACACCCCACCGTATTCAGCCTAGAAGCAAGTACATCGGAGAAAATCGGTTCAGGTTTAGCTATAGCTCCCATATATATGTTTCATTCGATTTGGGGTTTTAAGTCCCTCACATTCGTAATATGCGTTCGACAACAATATTTGATAGCAGATATCTTATAGAGCTCGGAAATACCTTTGCCAAATTTTATCGCGAACGGCTAAGATTTGGATGTAGCTCCCATGTATAACCTTAATCTGATTTCAGGTTAATTTGTGGTAGGTAGGTAGATGGTATTATCTACTTCAAATAAATTCTTTTGTTACGGGAGCTCAACTAAATATGCATAGTGGTTTAGGGTATCATATAATCGGCCCCGCCCGACTTTTGACTTTTCCTTACTGATTTTCTACTCCTAAAATGTAAACCGAGTATTTTATCCCATATCTTACCTCTCAATAAAATCATTATTCACTTTTTGTGTTGGATCTATGTAGAGTACCGTGTTTCTGGGCTGCATCAACACCGGATTGACGGCATGACGAAATTTACCCCACTGGGTTCCACTGTCACAAGAAAATGATATTTGATTTTCGTTCAGTATATCTTAAATCGCCATAACTTACTTGCCGGCAACACCCAAATTACCCTCATCGTAGAGACCATCCTTACGGGCCAAACGATATTCGAAGATCACTTCATTGCCAGGCCTCACTGGATATGGTCCTTCGGTGCGGAAAATTTTTTCATAATCCTCCAAATTGAAGGTAATCAAATTTGTACTTTGGCCAAACATGCCGGGTAGTAAATAAATATCGCCATATCGTTGACGACACAGTTTGATGAAGGTATCAAAAGGCATTCCATGGAAATCACCACCCTTCATGAAACCACGGACCATTTGAAATTTCGTTGGACCCGGTATGGATTTGAACGATTTTGCTGTTTGCCATTCTTCGGCCAAGGCACTGGTGTAGGAGCTCTCCAGGGCAATTGTGTCGGCCTAGAAGGTAGGGAAGGGAAAAATATATGTATAAATAAGTTGCTGTTTGAGATTTCCGATATGGAGTTCCATCGAACCTTAACATTGACCGCTGTAGAATATTTTGCACAAGTCCATATTGTATTCAGGTCACTACGACGTAGTTGTCTTCTGGCAAGACTTGATAACATCTTCAATGCTTTAATACCTTCCTCGACCAAAGAAAAACAATGACTGGCTGCGAATATTTGAAGGCAAACAGCTTGATGGGCGCAGAGACTAATCAAAACAAATTTCTCTCATTATCATTTGTATTTTGAAGTGTGCGAGAGATAATGGACGGGCAGAGTATGCAGTGGCTATAGGCTGAGCATCTGTCCGACATCGATGAGATAGTGGGCTTCGCCGAAAAAGCACACAAACTACAAGTCATCATTGCTGGACAGATTTTTTTGAGCTTGACACTCTACAGGTGGTATACTGTGATTTGAAAATGGAGATTTCGAGCGGATAGGACAAGATAGTGGGGGAAATATTTGGGAATTTTAAAAAACTCAACCTAACCAACCGCTGCTTATGAAAACAAGGAAGGTCTACGATACTTCCGAAAAAGAATGATTGTTTAGTTGTCATATCTTGAGTAAAAACTGGAAATAGCTACCCCAAAAATCGACCAGCCCTGCATTGATAGATGGCCATGGTTTATCAGTGATTAAATTAAATTTGATAATAACCAAAAGACGCTACTTGAAAGCCCCCTAAGAGAACGAAAAATAATGAAAATTAATTTAAACAATGATTTATCTTTGCGATTTGCACAATGGGGTGAAGAGGACACAATCGTGAGGCGAGGACACATTCGTACAATTAAATACAATAATTTTTCTTTAACAGATTTAGTATATACAGAGTGAGATGAAAAAAAACTGCAACCAACTTCAGACTGCTGTCATTTCGTAGTCACTCGTCCGACAGCTGTTAAAATTATTCCAGTGACAGCAAATTATATTGTTTACAAGCGTACAAAAAAATTTTGGTGAGAATTTTCCAGAAAAAAAGTTATTCGTCATGGAATTCAAGCGTGATAGTGTGATTTCTTTATATTTGCCTGGAAAAGCACAAGTGGCTATCGTTAGAGCACTCCAGCATTTAAATGTGAATAAATCTTTTGTGTCTCGTACCATCGCTCGTTACTGGTAGCGTAGGCTGGCGCCAAGGAAGTGGACCGAAGAAAAAAACAGCAACATCAGCAAAAATGGTTCGAAGAGTAAAGAAGCGACTTGATTGAAATCCGCGTCGCAGTGGCCGAAAAATGGCTCGTGAGCTGAACATATCGCAATATTCCATTTGGCAAATATTGAAATATGAGCTCGGGGTAAAGCTATTGAAATTCCAAAAAGTGCAAGAACTTACACCGCAATAGAAAGAAAATAGACCCAAAAGAGCTAAGGAGTTGCTTCGCATGGCCGAAAGTGGTGAACTGACGAATTTGGTTTTCTCCGATGAGAAAACATTCGTAGTCCAGCAGTTTGTAAACAAACAAAATTATCGTGTTTACCTGCCGAAGAGGTCAGCTGAAAATATGCACCTTGGGTTGGCCACCAGAACTCAAGCGCCGGCCATGGTGATGGTGTGGGCCGCCATAACAGCCGATAGTCGCTCTTCGTCCATATTAATCGACCGTGGTATCAGAATAAATGCCGAATATTATCGCGAAAATATTCTGGAGGGTGTATTAAAGCCTTGGGCACGCAAACATTTGACCGCAGACCTTGGACTCAGCACTGCTATCTTCATTTCCAGCGCACAATGTCCACCAAAATCTTCGGATACCGATCCGTTGGACTATTGTGTCTGGAGTATTTTGAAAAGCAAGGTTGGCACTAAAAAATACCAAAGTGTCGATCACCTCAAGCAAGCGCTCCGCCGGGAATGGGCCAAAATACCGCAGAGCAACATTCGGGCAGATTGTGAAGATTCATTGGCCGTTTGAAGGCCACAATTCATGCCAAAGGTGACAAATTCGAACAAATCTAAACTTATTCTAAAATTTGATGCTATTTCCGACATTTTTTGCTTTCATTCAATGAAATATTCCTGATCAGCATAAAATTCTGCCCGTCTGTGGAAATCACTCTAGCTCCCGAACGAAATGAAGTAGGTTGATAAAATTTTATTCAAATGTATATTATGTCTGCAGGACTTTTGGTATAGAAAATGGGACATGTAGATCCAGGTTTTCGCATAGCCCCCATATAGCGGTACCTCCCGATATTCGGTATTTTGATGATTTTAGCGACACTATTCAACGGAAATGTTTCAAATTTGGTATTTGAGGTTCGTAATGGATATTACAGCCTATGACAGAAAATTGTCTGTGCAGGTTCACGCCTTCGTATAATCCACATATATAACGGCACCTCCCGATATTAGGTATTTAGATAATTTTAGCGACATTATTTAACGGAATTGTTTCAAATTTTGGAATTGAAGTTCGTAATGAATACTACAGCCTATGACAGAATATTGTCTGTGCTGGCCCACGTCTTCGTATAGCCCCCATATAACGCCACCTGCCCATATTCGGTATTTGGATGATTTTAGCGACATTATTCACCAGAATTCTTTCAAATTTGGTATTTGAAGTTCGTAATAGATGCTACAGCCTAAGACGGAAAATTGTCCGTGCAGATTCACGTCTTCGTATGGCCCCCATATAATGGTACCCCCCGATATTCGGTATTTTCATGATTTTAGCGACATTATTCAACGGAATTGTTTGAAACTCGGTATTTGAAGTTCGTAATGGATACTACAGCCTATGACAGAAAATTATCTGTGCAGGTTCACGTCTTCGTATAGCCCCCATATAACGGTACCTCCCAATTTTCGGTATTTTGGTGATTTTAGCGACATTATTCTCTAGAAATGTTTCAAATTTGGTATTTGACGTTTGTAATGGATACTACAGCCTATGACAGAAATTTGTCTGCGCAGGTCTACGTCTTCGTATAGCCCCCATATAATGGTATCTCCCGATATTCGGTATTTTAATGATTTTAGCGACATTATTCAACGGAATTGTTTCAAATTTGGTATTTGAAGTTCGTAATGGACACTACAGCCTAAGACAGAAAATTGTATGTGCAGGTCCAAGTCTTCGTATACCCCCCATATGATGATACCTCCCTATATTCGGTATTTTGATGATCTTAGCGACATTATTCAACGGAATTGTTTCAAATTTGGAATATGATATTCGTAATGGATACTAGAGTCTATGATTTTAGCTACATTATTCACCGATTGTTTTTTTAAGTTTCGCATTTGAATATTCCAATGGCTTATGGCAAAAGTTCCCTATGCAGATCCACCTCTTCGTACAGACCCTAATATAACGGCTACATTCTTCATTTTTAAGATTTTAACAGAATTTTTAACGGTTTTTAATTATATATTTTTTTTGAAAATTCCCAAATTTTTTCCAAATGGTGAGTTCAAAGTTCGGCCCGGGCAAACTTACAGCGTTTTTTATTTGTTTTTTTTTTTTATAGAATACTTTTACGCTTTCAATTTTACTTTAATGCTGTGAACGAAGCGCTCGTATGCCATTGATATTTAAGGGACTGAATTTCCAATAGAAGACCTTTGAGGAATTCTATTTTGAATCGAAGATCTTCAAGGGTATTTGTTTTCATTGAAATACCTTTAAGAGCTTAATAAAAGACCTTGCAGTCCTCTATTTTCAACCGATTGCTTCAGAGCTTTTATTTTCAAACGTTTCTGTTTTCATCGGAAGACCGGTAAGCTCATTTTATTACAGAATGCTTTTGTGCTTTATAATCCATTGGTTTAATATTAAATCGAAGGCGTAAAAAGGATTCCATTTTGAATGAATGACCTTCAAATACATATTTTTTCAATGCTTAAAAGCTTCGCCTTTCATAAGAAGGCCTTCAAAGATTTAAAATTTTTATAGAAGAGGTGTTTCATCGTCTATAGGTTTTTTATGGGCTTCAAATTTACAATCAAAGGCCTTTAAGCGCCGCTATATTTTCTTGGTCAACTAATTTCTGTCGAAGCTTTTAATGGAAGGCCTTTAAGGGTTTCCATAATCAATATCAAACCTTCAAGGACTAAGTCAGGTGCGAAAATGGACAATATCGGTCCACTCCATCAAATACCTCCCCAAAAATTTCAAAAATCCAAATTTCGAATAATTGTAGCTTCAAACTACACACATCACAATTATTTTATTAACCCAAGGTTTGCTGTGTAGACGGGTTGCATCGGTTCACTACTTCTGGTACCTCCCCCACAAAGGGTCAAAATTTTGAATATCCATGAAGCTCATAAAACGCGAAATTTACATCCGATTCCATTCAGACTTGGCACATCTCAATATTTCTATCAACACAAGATCTGTTATAAAGATGGTAGAGATCGGATCATTTCGTTTGGTACCTCCCCTCACATAGGTTTCAAGATTTTGAAAAACAAAGAAAGCGAAATAAGCATCTAACTCTCTTCAAATTTCACACATACAAACATTTTTGCTTACACAAGAACTGTTGTGAAGATAAACCCACTCTGGTACCTCACCTTTTCAATAGAAGATTTTGAAAAACTTTAGCTATCTGTAAAGACTAATATACCTACCATGGTAGAAGAATACAGATAGTCGCATCGACACAACTGCTGGGACAATGGACTGTCAAACCAATTTTGAAAATTGAAAATGCTTATCATAACAACCTCCGATTGACGTCGTTTAAGAAAACATATAAAAATCGACTCATTCTTGAAAAGAAAAGAAATCATTTAAAAAATTTGAAATATCAGTGTCCTGAATTCTTCCACCATGATACCTACTGAACCTCCTATGCAGCTAAAACACCGTCTAAAACTCTTTTAAAGCTAAAATGTTTTCTGAAACTTTTCCATAGCTTAAAGGCCTTCAAAAGATTTTCTATAGCTAAAAGACATTCTGAAGCTCTTCTGTGGCTAAAAAGCTTTCTGAATCATTTCGATGGTTACAAAGACTCTTCTACAGCTCTTCTGAGGCCTTTCCATTATTATTATTAAGCTCATCTATAGCTAAAAGGCCCTTTGAAGCTCTTCAACGCAGCAAGGACAATCTAGCTAAAATACCACCTGAATTCATTCTATACCTACAAGACCTTTTAAGCCTCATTAATATATTATGGGGATCCTGTAGCTGACTCTTCCATAAAAATTACTTTACCTTCGAAGCTCGTTCATATAAAAAACTTATTTTTTAAAAGACCTTCTTTAATTCTTCTATACCCTAAATAGCTCTTTCTAATGTCAAATGGCTCTAAAGCTTTTTTTGGCTGTATTTCCACCTGAAGCTCCCGGGCGGAAAGTCTTCAAAATCTCCTCTATTTCTGAAATATACTTTCTAAAGATCTCATTTTGCCAAGAGAGATTTTTTGACGCTCTTCTCTGACTTAAAAAGTTTTAGAAGCTCGCACATTGCTAGATGATCATTCTATTACTTCTATGATGCTCTGAAACTTGTCTAAAATAAAAAATTCTCTGCTACTATTCTCTCCTCTAAATAATAACAAAAATGTTCTTTAAATTAATTTCCATTGCATATTTTTAGGCAATGCGACTTTTATTTAAACCCCATTTAAGGTAAATCCGTCAACTTAAACTTCAACGGTATAACACAGGTATTCATGAAATAATTCTTAAAAGCATTCTCAGTCGGATAGTTATACTCCACTTTAAAATTCCGCACAATATTGGCCAATGTAATCTCCAACTGCAGCTCGACAATACGTTTTCCCACACATGAGCGGGGTCCGAAGCCAAATGGTAAAAACACAAATGGATTGCTGATCTTAAGATTATCCATATCCTTCATACGCAACCATCGTTCCGGTATGAATTCATTGGCTTGAGGAAAATAGCATTCTTCCTTCAAGAGCATATTTGAGGTTAGGAAGACATGAGTACCCTTGGGCACTTGGTAACCACTTAGACACAAATCCATGGCTGTGGTACGCATGTTACCAAAAATCAGGGGATAAAGTCGCATCGACTCCTTGATGCAGGCCCTCAAGTAGGGTAAGTTTTTCATATTTTCCATGGAAAATGCCTCATTGCGTCCAATGGCTGTGAGTATTTCTTTTCTCAGCCTTTCCTGCTTCTCCGGATTTGTGGCAATGCAAAGCAGGGCCGCCGACATAATTGAGGAGGTTGGATCCACTCCGAACATTAACATATCCACAGCCATAATGGTGGCAATTTTACGATCAATTTTCACTAGTTTTTCCAAGACACTTTTTCCATCGTCTGCCCCACGACCTTCAATCCGTTGCAATGTCTCCTCCACATGTCTTCGACAGATGTCCGTTATGGTATCCATGGATTTTTCAAACTTCTTATAGGTGGGCGTTTTAATATATCTATGGATAGATGGTTTTATACCCAGATCATAGAGGGAGGCGTTGAATGTCTGGAGATTATTGAAGAGTTCTTGAGCTTCCGGTACAGCGTTTTTATTTCTCACTAAACCCAATTCCTTATCCAAGGCAATTACGGCCACGGATTCGAAAGCAAGGCGTTTTATCTCTCTGAGAAAATCCTCAGGTACTTCAAGGGTAGTTGGATGGCGTATTTCACGGATTCTAGAAAAACCAAAGAAATGGAACACAATTTTAGCATATCTTTGGAGATGTTCTGCATTAAGGAAGCCTCTAAAAGGACTCCGGTAAAAAAAATATTCTAAGGATAAAAGGCCTGCTGAATGTTTTTTTATAGATCGACGACCTTTCGCAGGAATAGAAACAACTTTTTTTGCATTAAAGAATTAAAGACCTCCAGAATGTGTTCTAGTAATAGAACACCCCAAGAAGGTATTTTATGGATTAAAGGACTTCCAAAGGTTATTTAGAATGACTACTGTTGATGGAAGACTTCCTGATGGTCTTCTATGAATAGACCTTGGAGAATGGAAGCTTTCCTGTCGGTCTTCTATGATTAATGTGGCTACTGAAGAGCCTTGTGTGAACAGAACATCTTCTGTAAATAGAGGGCCTTTCGAAGATTCTTATAACCTACACCACATAGTGGTAGCAGGAAGAAGGAAGCAAGGTAGACCCATAGTTGCTTTTGAGGATCTTCATAGAATCACTTTCTGAGTCGCCTTATGCATGTCAGTCCGTCCGTCCGTCTGTCCTTGTATTTTTGTAAACAAAATGCAGGTCGCATCTATTATTCGATTAAGCCGAAATTTTTCAAACAATATTTGTTTGGCCCAAGGACGAAGCCTATAGAAATTGGTGATAATCGGATCAGATTTGGATAAAGCTCCCATATATATCTTCAGCCGATTACATGTTAATTGTGCACCAAATGGTCAATACCAGTCCGAGTGACCTGAATTTTGGCATATCCGACCGAATTCAGTCTAGAAGCACATACATCGAATTTGGTGAAAATCGGTTCAGATATAGCTATACCTCCCATATATATGTTTCTTCCGATTTGGGGTTTTAAGTCCCTCACATGCAAAATATGCATTCCACAACAATGATCTCTGGTACCAGATATCAGATACACCTTTGAAATAATAGAATCAAATTTTGTCAAGATCGGTTCAGATTTGGATATAGCTCACATATATATCTTCAGCCGGTTTCGTGTTAATTGTGCACCAAATGGCCAATACCAGTCCAAATGACCTGATTTTTGGCACATCCCACCAAATTCAGTCTAGAAGCAAGTACATAAAATTTGGTGAAAATTGCTTCAGATATAGCTATACCTCCCATATATATGTTTCATCCGATTTGGTGTTCTAAGTCCCTCAAATTCGTAATATCCATTCGACAACAATGATATTTGGTACCACATATCTTATAGAGCTCGGAAATACCATTACCAAATTTCATCGAGATCGGTTCAGATTTGGATATAGCTTCCATGTATATACATAATCCGATTTCAGGTTTGGAGTGAATTTCGCAAAGTAGGTTTCCATTTTGTGGAACTCGGCTCCGATATATATTTTTTAATATAATCCTTCTCGAAGTGATATCCTACACTCTATAGCAATATTATTTGATATAAAAGATTAAAATATATGCGTCAAATTTTATGAAAATCGGTTCAGAATTGGATATGCCTCCCACATTTTAGTTCCTTCCGAAACCAAACTATAACTGCTCTAAAGCCAATTGTTGATAGGTGGTATGATCTACTTCAAATAAATTCTTTTGTTGCGGGAGTTCTACTAAATATGCATAGTGGTGTAGGCTATCATATTGTCGGCTCCGCCCCACTTTTGACTGTTTGTTTTAGAATGGGAAAAATTTTAAGGGTATTTTGTGAAATACCTTCTAAAGATCTTCAAATTTAAGATTTCGTAGATGTCTTGAAAGAGTATAATTCCTCTATAGGCTGTTTTGACCACTTAATTTTGATGATTATGAAATCTTCGGAAGGTTTTTTATGCGCAAAAGTACTTTAGTCGATTTAAGTCTTCCAAAACCTTACCTCTCAATAAAATCATTATTAACCTTTTGTGTGGGTTCTATATAGAGCACAGTATTCCTTGGCTGCATTAAAACAGGATTAACGGCATGACGGAATCTTCCCCATTGGGCGCCACTAGAACCAAGAATGAAAACCATATTATATTTTGGCGAAATATGTCACCCGCAAAAAAACTCACTTCCCCGCCACACCTAAATTCTCGGCATCGTAGAGACCATCGTTCTTACGCTGCAAACGATAATCGAAAATAATTTCATTACCCGGTCTCAGAGGATGTGGTCCTTCGGTGCGAAATATTTTCTCATGATCCGCCAAATTGAAGGTAATCAAATTTGTTTGTTTACCAAACATACCGGGCATTAAATACACATCTCCGTAACGTTGACGACACATCCGCAGAACCGAGTCAAAAGTTTTACCATGGAAATCTCCACCAGACATAAAATCACGTATCAGTTGAAATTTTTTTGGACCTGGTATGGATTTGAAGGATTTCGCTTGCTGCCATTCCTCTTGCAAAATACTGGTGTACGAGGGGTCCAGTGACAAGGAATTGGTCTGTGAAATGAGAGGAAGAGAGAGAGGTGAAATTTAGGCGAGTCCACCAAGTTTGGGGGGCAAGATCAACTGATTCAGAATTCACGGTCTAAGAATTTTAATTTTTCTGATTTCTCTGGATCAATTTTTACCTTTGGATTAACGACAGTAGCTGAGTAGAACCTGCAAAAAGTTCTCGATTCCAAAACAATTTGCGTTCTGTTTACTAGATTTGATAACATAATATGATTATGTTTGTTGCGAATTGCTTTACCGCAATTGTTTGAATGAGAATCGTGGATCTACTGATTGAGACTGCGACTCATATAAATTGCTGGACATGCATTATTTTTGTTATTAAAACAATTTACAATGGGAGAGCGTTAGACGATTCTTCTAAAAGAGATAACAATTGTATTAAGGGGCATTTAGACTTAATAGTTTTGAACATACTTTTATTTGTAAAGGTTAGGGTAAGGGTTTCTAAGAGATCGCTGAGTATCGCTTGTCTCTTTTTCATTACCAGAATGAGAGCAAAGGTGAGCAATATAGAGAAGATCTTCTATAGGACAGGCACTTTAGACTTAGACTTTCGGATGATGAGAACTATATATAAGTTTCCGTTTTGAGTGGCTATGGCTCGTCGAATGAGGGGAGGTTCTTATCACTCGTTGACGAAAATTAGAAATTCATATCGGTCATAAATAGGGCGGATATTCGCCTAGGAATGAGGGTGAGATGAAAAAACTGCAGCCAACTTCAGACTGCTGTCATTTCTAAGCCAATCGTTCGACAGATTCTAAAATTATTACAGTGACAGCTTATTACATTGTTTACAAGCGTACAAAAGCATTTTGGTGAGAACTTTTCAGAAAAAAAGTTATTCGTGATGGAGTTCAAGCGCGATAGTGTGATTTCTTTATATTTGCCTGGAAAACCACAAGTGGCTATCGTTAGAGCTCGCCAGCTTTTAAATGTGAATAAATCTTTTGTGTCTCGTAGCATCCCGAAGTCAAGGAAGGGGACGAAAGAAAACAGCAACATCAGCAGAAATGGTTCGAAAAGTAAAGAAGCGACTTGAAACCCACGTCGCAGGGACCGAGAAATGGCTCTTAAGCCGAACATATCGCAATATTCCATTCGGCAAATATTGAAAACTGAGCTCGGGGTAAAGCCATAGAAATTGCAAAAAGTGCTAGAACTGATACCGCAACAGAAAGAAAATAGACTCAAAAGAGCTAAAGAGTTGCTTCGATTGGCTGAAAGTGGTGAACTGCCGAATTTGGTTTTCTCCGATGAGAAAACATTCGTTGTCCAGCAGTTTGTAAACAAACAAAATGATCATGTTTACTTGCCAAAGAGGTCAGCTGAAAATGTGCACCTTCGGTTGGCCACCAGATCTCAAGCGCCGGCATGGTGATGTTGTGGGCCGCCATAACAGCCGATGGACGCTCTCCGCTCGTATTAATCGACAGTGACGTCTGAATAAATGCCGAATATTATCGAAAGCGAAAATATTCTGGAGGGTGTATTAAAGCCTTGGGCACTCATAAATTTGGGCCGCAGACCTTGGACATTCCAACAGGACTCTCAGCACGCGCCACCCAACAATGGTTTAAAAATGAGGTTCCTCGCTTCATTTCCAGCGCTCAACGGCCACTAAAAATCTCCGGATACCAATCCGTCTGGAGTATTTTGGAAAGCAAGGTTGGCACTAAAAAATACCAAAGTGTCAATCAACTCAAGCAAGCGCTTCGCCGAGAATGGGCCAAAATACCGCAAAGCAACATTCGGGCAGCGTGTGACGGTTTCATTGGCCGTTTGAAGGTCATAATTCGTGCCAAAGGAGACCAATTCGAACAAATCTAAACTTATTCTAAAATTTGATGCTATTTCCGACGTTCCAATAGAATATTTAAAAAAAAAAGAAAAATTATGGCGTTTGACTTTGTTACAGTTTTTTATCTCACCCTGTAAAGGAGATCTTCTATAGGTCAGGCTATATATAGTTTTCCATTTTGAGCGGTTATGGCTCGTCGAATGAGGGATGGTTATTGTCACTCATTGACATTTTGGTTGACAAAAATTACAAATTCATACCGGCCTTAAAGAACGGCTATCCGACTAGGAAATATCCGCCTCTCTCTGAGTAATTCTCTTATCGTGACATCTTTTACCATCCGAATCAGTCGATGGTCGTGGAAGCGTCGCCGAATGGGTGTCAATCGACGGTCTTTACAGCGAATTTTTGGTACAAGGTTTGACAGTGTTTCAGTACAAAGTCCAGATAGTGCATCAGCTGTTAGCTGCTGTCCGTTAATTGCGTCTAACGTACGCTCAAGCAATCCTTAATCACCACCAAGAAGAAGATGATTTTTCATCAAAAATAATCATGAGAGATGAGGTCCATTACCATCTTAGAGGATACGTAAATAAGCAAAATGTATGCTTCTGGGGCACTGAAAATCCGCATATCGTCCATAAAGAGCCATTACACCCGCTCAAATTCACTGTATGATTTTCTGTTTTTGCTGGAGGAGTCATCGGACTTTTTTCTTCGAAAACGTTGTGGGACAAACGATTACTGTGAATGGTGACCGCTACAAAGCAATGATTAACGATTTCTTTTTGCCGCAACTTGATGAGTTGGGTTTGTAAAACTTGTGGTTCCAACTGGACGATGCAACGGCACACACTACACTATCGATATGCTGAAGGATGCATTTCCCGTGCGCCTAATCTCCCGTTTTGTCGATTTGCACTGGCTAGCAAGATTGCCTGATTTGACCGCTCCAGACTTCTTTTTGTGCGGTTTTTGAAGTCGCATTTTTATGTCAACAAGCCTCAGACTGTTTCAGCTCTTAAAGACAATATCCGTCAAGAATTTGAGGACCTATCGCCGGAAGTTTTGGACATAGTGATGCAATAATGCCATAAAAGGGCTCAAATGACATTAAACTGTGGCGGCGGCCATTTACATGACATCATATTCTCGATTTGATGAAAAAAAAATCAAAGACCAAATAAAAATAATCCACCAAAAAAAAAACAAAGATTTTCTTTTTTTATTGCAGCCAAAAGACATCGGAAGTTTACTTTTGCGCTACCTTGTATTTAAAGAAACATTTAAAAAAATTTGACATATTAAAGTTTCCAAGCGTTGATGCATCTACCTGTATTCTTCTACAATTGTTCTTATGTACTTTTTCGATCGCAGCAAGCCCTATTTTCATCAGAAAAATAAATGGTATGTTCCAGAACTGGAAGAATGTAGACGTTTTTACTATGATAACCGAATTTCCCTTTATGATATCGTAAAAATTTTTTCAAAACTTGTAGATTATTGCAGGTTCTGGAATAGACCGATAATTGAATCAAAAGTGTTGTTGGTTTGTTGTGAGAAAAAATATAAAATTAAATTGGCGATAAAAATTCATCCATAGGCCCGTTCTTATATCTTCCCTTTATAGTCCACTTTTGTTATCCCTTACTTTAGGAAAAGTGAATGATAAAGTTCACATTATCGGATTCTCATTATTACATCTTTCCCTTAAAATATATGCATTTTTTACAGAGATATGGCAAGCTTTTTGTTAAAGTAACTGGTAGTCACAGCATTTTTTCACAATGGCATCTTCATTTTAGGTTGATAAACAAAACGCGAATTTGTAATTAATTTCGTGAAATGAATTTATAATTCAGTTCTTCAATGCAACGGCATGGAAGTGACAGCTCATATGTAAACCCCTTATCTGTCTGCTTTAGAAAGTTAGAATATCTTTATAAACCCTGGTTGGAAAGCAGTACAGACAACCTGTCGATCTCTATATATATTTTGCAATAATAACAATACGCTTATCATTCTCAATAACCACATTTATTTACAGGCGCATATTTTACATATGTATGTATGTGTGTTGTTTTTATTTTACATCTGCACTTTTATTAGTACATATATTCGCTTTTTAGCAGATATACATATATATAGTCCATTTGTTATACATTGTTATTATCATATTATTTTATTCACATTTAAAATGTAAAATAAAATGTTCAGTTGTTTCTTTTTTTTGTAAAATTTACAAAAAGTAGTTTGACAATGATATATAATTTTTTCAGTTTATATTTTTCATATATGTTTAATTCGTTTATTATTTTTATGGATATATTTTAACAGAATTATATTTAGTTGTTTTTATTGACATAATTTGATTTTTATTACAAAATTTGCAATGCAAATGCAATGGCTGTTTGGAAATGTCATTTGCATTGCATATTGTGTCATGGTAGAAGAATATAGGTAGTCACATCAGAATTGAAAATGTTGAATGAAAAATTATTTAGATTTGTAAAAAATTTTTGAAAGACGCGAGTTATAATAACCTCCGAATGACGTCGTATAAGAAGAAATATAAAAATCTACTTATCTTTAAAAAAACATTTAAATTTTTTTGACATATCAATGCTCCCAAACGTTGATGCATCTACCTGTATTCTTCTACCATGATATTGTGTATTAGGAATGTATGCTTTTTTTATATCTTTCATTTAAGTTCATTTAAATAGTTTTTTTTTTTTATTTTTGTGTTTTTGTAAAATAAAATCCCAACAAACTACAGGTGGGTATCAAATGATATTAATAAGTTCATTTCTAAATTCGACTACTTGGCAAAAAAACTAAAAGTAAATTTACATGCAAATGTTTTTAAACGGGTTAACACTGATAATTGCCCTACCAAAATAAATTTGACTATGTAAAGCATACGGTTAATGTATTGTGATTAATGAATTATGACGGTTAACGGTGTTAAGTATTAAACATATAATCTGGCAACCTTATTTTTATGTTGACATTCATAATAAGTGGTTTATTGTATTGTTTATACATTTGAAATAAACTGTAGCCCGTTTATATATCTTTTCTTTATAGTCCCAGTCATGGCCCAATTATAAGGTCTTCCTTCGAGCGAATCTAAAAACAGCTGTTATTTTACTAGATGAAATGTCAAAATTAATGCTTGAGGCGAAAATAAATATTTTCGACTTGACAGAAGAATTTGGTGGAGAATACGTTTGCTGTCAATTTTTTGTATGTATAACACATGGTAGAAAAATACAGGTAGACGCATCGACGCAGTGGCTGGGACAATGAACTGACAAACTGACTTTGAAATTAAAAATGTTGAATGAAAAAATTTTGATATTTATAAAAATTGAAAAATGCATATAATAACAACCTCCGATTGGTGCCGTATAAGAAAACTGATAAAATGTACTTATTAAAAAAAAATATTTTAACAATTTTGACATATCAATGTTCCCAAGCGTTGATGCATCTACCTATATTCTTCTCTACTACATTGTAGATATGTAAAAATTTTTAAAATGTTTTTTTTTTTTTTTTTTGCAAAATAAGTACATTTTATAATTTTTTTTATACGACACCAATCGTAGGTTGTTGATATAAATTTAAAATTAATTAATTAATTAATTAATTTAAAATTTTCAATTTAAAAATTGGTGTGACAGTTCATTGTCCCAGCAGCTATGCGATGCGACTACCTGTATTCTTCTTCTATATTTTTGAAGTTTGTTTTGGTTGCAGCCAATTCAAATTTAATTGACAGATCGTGTGGTAATCAGCTGAGCTGGAAGGGGGACCTTATACTTGGATCAAGGTCCCAGTTATCCCAAAATTTGGGAAAGTAAGAATAAATTATCGGGTTTTCATTAATGAATATTTCCTTTAAAACAAATTAGTTTTTTTCAGAGATAATGTGAACTTTATCCGTTATTTTTCCCAAAGTAAAGGTGCAAATACCTAAAAATCTTAAAGTGACGGCTAGGCATATTTATGTCAAATTATGTTGGAAAGCGGCGGCAGGATTTTAGTGCAGCTCTGTAATCCCTATATTTGAACTTTGAAACGAAATATCACAAAATATGCCTAGCCATGACTTCAAGCTTCTTATGTACTTACACCCTAAGGGATATAAGAACGGATCTATGTCTTTGAGAGCACTTCTTGTAGGGATAAGTAAATCGACTTTTGATTAATCAATTAATCGAATAATCAACAACAGGGTTGCCGTTGTGCGACTATAGTCGCAATTTTTTTGGTCACTATATTGGTTACTTTCTTCACTTTATATAAGAAATGTGATAATTTTTAGAAAACGTTAAAATGTGCGTGTTGTTCCAGATATAGTCGATCGAAGTTTTCCATTTTCATACTTCATCTAATACAGATAAAAATAATAGGTATGGACAAAATTACAAGTAAATCGGACATTTATATTCAATTTCATGAGAAATCATAAATTCCGTATTTATCTCAGGTTTCTGGTTGAGAGAAATATTTAGATACAGCAAGTTGTATAGAACCGCCGACTTGTTTCGCAAGTTATGGCAAATATAAGTATTGAAAATTGTGACCCTTTTTGGGTGAGGTACCAGAAGGGGATGGCAGATATATATCATCTTCATAACAGGTTTTGCGTCAGCAGGAAGAAGTGGACCGATATTGCCCATCTCCGAACTTGATCCAAGTTTGGACCAAATGGATACTCCCTTCGACAGTTATCGTTCGAACAGGCCAGACAGACGGGTGGACGGACATCGCTAGATCGACTCCAAATGTCCCGAAACGGATTTGGTACAAAGAGACCTAGGGTCTTTGATGAGGCACGTTTTGGCCGTATCAAACTCTAGCCATATGGCTGAGGGATAAAAATATTTTTTCCCTCATTGGAGGCACAGATTGAAAAGTCGAAAGTAGAATTTGGATTTCGATTACATGCGATAATGCGAGCTCGACCATAAAAAGACTGAGACCAGTCTCAGAATCTTCCTAGGAAAATCTATTCCGAAAAACGGTCAGTGAGGAAACTGACTAAAACTACGTTTATATACAAAATCTGTACCCGAATTAATCCTGCTAATCGACCAATCACAATAAATGTAATATAATTTTAATTATTATCAATTATCAGGGTTAAACCGGGTAGAGACTTTTCAAAGAAAGGCTTGGAAATTACAACTTCAAAGACACAGTTCAATCATGAATATCCGGACGGAATTCTATTCCCCCGGAAAACGTTTTCATCGACAGGCAATCTCTGCAATCACTAATAATTGAGAAAAAAATAGTTGGTGAAGTTGGCAACGCGAATTGGTGTTTTTCGTACCTTGTGTAACCTATGTTGCATGGTAATGTTTCAATTTTGGTATTTGAAGTTCGTAATGGATACTACAGCCTATGACAGAAAATTTTCTGTGCGGGACCACGTTTTGGTATAGCCCCCCTCCTATCTATATTCAGTATTTTGACGATTTTAGGGACATTATTCACCGGAATTGTTTCAAAGTTGGTATTTGAAATTCGTAATGGATACTACAGCCTAAGACAGAAAATTGTCTGTGCAGGTCCAAGTCTTCGTATAGCCCCCATATAACGGCACCTCTCGATATTCGGTATTTGATGATATTAGCTACATTATTCTCCCATTTTTTTCAAGTCTCGCATTTGAATATTGTAATGGCTTATGGCAAAAGTTGTCTATGCAGGTTCACGTCGTCATATTGACCCTAATGTTTTTAAGATTTTAATTAAATTTGAAACGGATTTAATTTTTTTTTTTGAGAATTGCCAAATTCGTTCCCATTGGTGGAGGGTATTCAAAGTTCGGCCTGGCCGAACTTTCATCTCTTATTATTTGTTTCTCCCTCGGAGTTATTTTTTTTGGGAGAAATGTTAGTCTATTTCCCCACGGAATTGTCATTCGTGTTTGGGCCGATGGAGAATTTTAATAGAAATTGTAATTCTCTGCGGGTAAATCGCAAATAATTAATGCCATGTTTTTATTAGAGGTTTTCGTCAGTTTAATTTCCTTTATGAGAATTTTGTTTAATGTAAATGCAATGGAAATGACAAATTAAATCTACTAGCTTCTCCAAAGCGAGTAAACGTTCTATAAGACAAATGTATTTTTTTTAAAGAAATTAAAGAAAACTAAATAAAATAATTAAAAACAATGTGTGGTGTATAAAATATAAAATTTATTTAATAAAACATTTTCTCTTTTTCTATTTATTTATTATTATTATTTATATTTTTAAATTATATGCTCTACTATATAAAACATTTATAAATGATGATGTGATTTTGTTTTTTTGTTTAAACATAATAATTATAATAAAAAATAATAATTAATTAATAATAATAAATATATATGTATATATGTAAAAAAAAACAATTTAAAAACAGACACATGTTTTGCGTGTAAACAAAATGCAAGAGTTGTTGTTGTTGTGGTTTTTTGTATGTTGTACTTAAGTTAAAACAAATAATAATTGAAATGAAAAAAGAAAATTATTTATGTTTTTTATTTCTTGTAAATTAATAAAGTAAAGCGAAAGAAATTCGTTTAAATGCTTGCTTTTTATGCATTCTTTTTCTCAATTGTGTGTTGATGCAGAATTAAAAAAAAAAAATAATAATTAATTACATACATATATGTTTTAATATTGCTTTGTTGTGGACAATGTTTTTGTTGTTGTGCTTTAAAATTTTTAGAGAAAAATGAACTAAAAAGTCTGTAGATTATAAAACAAAAATAATAATATTGAGGCAATTTTTTTCTAAAATAAAAATAAATTAAGAGAGGGGAACATTTGTTATATGTGTGCCTTAAAGGGTTAAGCTAAAGTTGTGAGTAATATATTCTTTCAAATTTTTATGTTTCATAAACATTTCCACATATTTTTATTAAAAAAAACTTGGAAATATTTACAAAAATAAAAAATTTCCAACAAATTTTATGAATATTTATTTTAAAAAATTTTTTTGAAAATTTATTTAAAAAAAATTTTAATTTATTTTCAAAAAAGTTTTGAAAATTTATTTTCAAAAAAAAATTGAAAATTTATTTTCAAAAAAAAAAAAAATGAAAATTTATTTTCAAAAAATTTTTCAAAATTTATTTAAAAAAATGTAGAAAATATATTTTCAAAAAAATGTTGGAAATTTATTTTCAAAAAAATGTTGAAAAATTATTTTTAAAAAAAATGTTGAAATTTTATTTAAAAAAAATTTAAAAATTTATTTAAAAAATTTAAAATTTATTTCAAAAAAAAATTTTAAACAATTTTTGAAAATTTAATTTCAAAAAATTTTTGAAAAAAAAAACATTTGAAAATTTACACAAATATTTTTTATTTAAGATTCCAAAAAATACCATTTGAAATTTTAATTAAAAAATATTTTTCTCCCATTTAGCCGCCTTAAAAAGGCTCTCTGTGGCTAGGCTCTCTAACTTAACCCTTTAGTGTTGTTATTTTTTAGGGTCCCCTATCTCCTTAGGGCCCTAAGGGAATTTAAATCTGCTTTAAAAAAAGATATTCATTATTTATATTTTTGCATTATCTTCAAACATACTTGGATTTTTCGAACGGACTTCGAAAAAATAATTCAGTCTTTTTTGTTTGAGGTTATACATTTTGACATGAAACAAATTATACGAAAAACATTTTGATTATCTCGATTTATACAAGAAATTTTGAAAATTGAAAGCGCACACATATTATCTTTACAGAAAAAAAACATGGGGTCCATTAAGGGTTTCAGGGCTTTGTCTGTTTTTGTCTCGAGCTTAAGGTGAGAAAACATAAAACACTTCATCGGCTGGCTTCTTGGGAAAAGAACAAACGAGCGTAGGCCAAAATCGAACTATGTCAACCTAAAACTCCTTTGTTCCTCCTCGAAAAAGCCAGCCGACGACGTCAAAAACGCCTTTTATGTACTCTCACCTTTATGAATCAGCAGATTTTCCAGTCTTGCCAGTCTTTGCCCAACATGTATACATATATTGTATGATGGATATATCTGAACCATTTTGGACCTCGATCTTACAAAACACAACAAAAAAAAAAATTAAAAAAAAGGATTAGGCGAACATTTTGTTAATAACTTTTGTTTTAGAATAACATTCATTTTTTTTAACTTAATAAATATTTCTCCTTTATATTTATAAAAAAACAATACACAATATTACAATCAAGAATAGAACTATTGTTGCTGCAGAACATGTATTTGTTGTTGTTTTCATTTAATTTATCTACTGTGAGCAGGCGGGCGGGCGGTAGGTCTTGACTTTTAAACATACTATAATATTGCATAAAAAGGACGCCATCTATTGGTATACATTAAGATTACACACACACAAATACAGGGTAGACAGCTAGACGACATGCACATTCTTTAAGAATGAGAGAGCATTTTGTGTTGTTGTTGCATGTTTTCTTTTCTTCTTTTTTTCAAAAGCAAAATACTTTTTTTGTTGTTTTTTTTTCTTAGTTATTTAAAAATATAACCTAAAATTTCTCTGGGGTGGGGTCGTGAGGAGAATATGTATGGTTGTTGTTGTTTGTTTTTTGTTAATAAATTCTTGGACTTAACATAGAACTTTACAAACTATAGATTTATAGGCATACATATATAAACATACTTTAACACATGTGTGTAACCAAATACAAAAATAGTTGTTTGAAAAAATTAGTTGGCAACCCTTAAAGGTAACATAACCTCAAAAGTAGCTCAATATTTTCTCAAACAACTGTACAACGTTTTTTTTTCTTTATCTAAAACTAAGCATGTCTTTTCAAATCCCCAAAATTCAAATTTCAATTACTTTGCCATGCTGCTCTTTTTACACTCCCACAATGATGACTGCTTCGCTCTCTCTCTCTTTCGCTCCTCCTTACTTGCTGCATCTCTTTAAATAGCATTGCCATTGGTTTGATTTGGTTTCTTGCCTTCCAATTCTTGTTGAATTTCATTCAGACTCTTACCCTTCGTTTCGGGCACAAACACAAACACGAAGATAGCTCCCACAACGGTAATACCAGCAAATAACCAGAAAGTGGGACCACTACCCAAAGCCTCCTTGAGATTGACAAAAGTCTTGGTAACAATGAATGCCAAAACCCAATTCGATGTACCAGCAATGGAGCCAGCAACACCCTTGATATCCGAGGCAAACAGTTCACCCATCATCAACCATGGTACTGGACCGAAACCAATCGAGAACATAATAATGAAAACACACAAACTGCACACGGGTAACCAGCCAAGACTTTCAACGGAATCGCCATTTTCCTTCATATAGAAATAGACACCCATGGCAATGGTGGACAAAGCCATCACAGAGGCAGAGGCCAAAAGCAAGAGACGGCGACCCAATTTATCCACAACCATGACCGAGACAAAGGTGGCAATGACTTGCATAATACCAACGACAATTGTTGAGAGATTGGCATCAATACCGGTATCAGCATCCTGCAAGAGAAAGGAAAGGAGCAAAATTAATATATTTTTATATGAACATTGAAAGAAAATCCTGGTCACACTACGGCTCTGGCAGGTTAATAATTTTTAACGGGATTTCCTAACCTAATTACTTTCCCCAGCATACAAGTGTCTACCTTACGTTGCGTTGCGTTACGATACGTTAGCTTTAGTGTTGCCAACACAGTCACATTTACAAACAGAAGAGATGCCAACTACAACGAAATGTGATTGTTGTGTTGTTTCTGGTAGTACGAAACATGACCATATATCGGTCCACGATATCATAGGGCTATATCGGTACACGATATCATATAGCCCCCATATAAAGGTACCCCCAATATTCGGTATTTTGATGATTGTAGCCAAATTTTTTAATCAAATTGTCTGAAAAAACACAAAGGTTTCCTTTTGAGTACTTTGCCCCCTGGAAGAGTACTGTCTATGCAGGTCCAGGTCTTTGTGTAGCCCCCATATAACGGTACCTCCCTATATTCGATGATTTTAGCTACATTTTTCAAAGGAATTGTCTGAAAATCTACCGAAGAAGTTCTTTCTAAGCAATTTACCCCTTGGAAGTGAATTGTTTTCATAGGTCCAAGATATCGTATAGGCCCCATACAGCGGTACTCCCCGACATTCGTTATTTTATTGATATTAGGAACATTATTTACCGGAATTGTCTGAAAATCCACACAAGGAGTTCTTTCTGAGTTCTTTACGCCTTGGAAGAGAATTGTCCGTATAGGTCCACGATATCGCATAGCCCCCATACAACGGTCCTCCCCGATATTCGGTATTTTGATGAGATTAGGAATATTATTCACCGGAATTGTTTCATATTTCGTATTTGAAGTTCGAAATAGTTACTACAGCCTGTGACATGAAATTGTCCATGCAGGTCCAGGTCTTCGTATAGCCCCCATACAACGGTACCCTCCATATTCGGTATTTTTATGATATTAGGAACATTATTTAACGGGATTTTTTATATCTCGTGTTTGAAGTTCTTCTGACAAAAAATTGTGCATGCAGGTCCTGGTCTTCGTATAGCCCCCATATATCGGTACCTCCCGATATTCGGTATTTTGACGATTTTTGGTACAATATCCACCGGATTCGTTTCAAATTTCGTATTTGAAGTTCCTAATGATAACTACAGCTTGTGACAGAAAATTGTCCATGCAGGTCCTGGTCTTCGTATATATCGGTACCTCCCGATATTCGGTATTTTGACGGTTTTTGGTGCAATATCCACCGGAATCGTTTCAAATTTAGTAGTTGAAGTTCCTAATGACAACTACAGCTTTTGACAGAAAATTGCAGGTCCAGGTCTTCGTGCAGCCCCCATATAACGTTCCCTCTCTATATTCCGTATTTTGACGATCTTAGGTACAATGTCCACCGAAATCGCTTCAAATTTCGTATTTGAAGTTCGAAGAAGTTACTACAGCCTGTGACATGAAATTGTCTGTGCAGATACAGGTCTTCGTATAGCCCCCATATGACGGTACCTTGTAGAATTTCGGATTTTCTCACAAGGTTTGCTTTATACCCGATGGGGTTACTTATATCATTAGTATTCGCCAAACTCTTTGCCCTCATGCTTGATTTGCCAAAATGACTAATCTCCCTATCTTACTGCACCACTCCAGTTGACCGGAATAATGTGAAAACGAGTCACATTTTCTTGTTCCCGAAATAATCTCAGTTCGTTATCTCATTTTTTTTTTCGCTTCTTGGAAACCACTTACCTTGAAAATATCGGTTGAATAGAAAATGACGGCATTGATACCGCACAATTGCTGGAAGAACATAAGACCCAAACTGATGCACAAAGCCTTGATGGTAACACGACGTGTCAGGGCACTGCCAATGGAGACGGGATTTTCTTTGATCTTCTTTTCGGTGTCTTTCAGTTCTTCAATTTCCATATTGTAGTCGTATTCCTTGCCACGCAACCATTGAATGGACTTAATAGCACTTTCGTTCTTATTTTTAGAAACCTGGAAGGAGGAAACAAAAAGGATTGTTTATTTATTGTAGTTGAGGGTTAAAAAAAGAAACATAGGTTGGCAATGCGAAACGAGTGTCTAAGACGAGTTCCTACGGTGAATATCATATGTGCTACGTCTTTAAAGTTTTTAAGACGAAGTAGGTTGAGAAAATTATACTCAAATGTGTAGTATGCCTGCAGGATTTTTGGTATTGAAAATGGGCCATGTAGGTCCTCTTTTTGTATGGCCCCCAGATAACTGTAGCCCCTCGATATTCGGTATTTTGAAGATTTTAGCGACATTATTCACCGGAATTGTCTTAAATTTGGCATTTGAAGTTCGTAATGGATACTACAGCCTATGACAGCAAATTGTCTGTGCAGGTCCACGTCTTCGTATAGCCCTCATATAACGGTACCTCCCGATATTCGGTATTTTGATGATTTTAGCGACATTAATCACCGGAATTGTTTCAAATTTGGTATTTGAATCCACCGCTTCGTATATTAGCGACATTATTCACCTGAATTGTTTTAAAATTGATATTCCAAGTTCATCCACGTCATTGTCGGTCGGTTTTAACAGAACTTTTAACCGATTTTATTTATTTGAAAATTGCCAAATTCGTTCCAGTTGGCGGAGGGTATTTAAAGTTCGGTCCGGCCGAAGTTAACAGCTTTTTAACTTGTTACATTTCACTTTATATTCTACTCACCAAATATGTAGGAGATTCTGGCATAAAGACAAATATAGCTCCAAATACCAATGGCAGCAGACCGCACACAACGCTCATCCAGAACACATCGAGACCAGCTCCAATGGCATAAACGAACAGAATACCAGCCGTTATCATCAATTGAAAGAAACTACCCAGGGTGCCCCGAATTTCCTTCTGCGCAATTTCACCCGTGTACATGGGTGCGGTGACACAGAAAGCACCACCCGAGATACCCAACAAGAAACGAGCTGCATACATCATTTCAACATTTTGGGCCCAGATCAAGAGACACCAACCCAAGGTGAAGGGCAAGACGAGCAGCAACATGGTCAGTTTACGACCAATCAAATTGATGAGGAAACCAATGGGTATACAAATGAAAGCGGCGCCCAATGTCATGGCCGAGCCGATCCAAGAGAAGGCCGACTCACTGACGGGGAAACCATATTCGCCATCTAGCAATGGGGTCTGGGCCGGAGAGGTCCAACCCAGCAGTGTACCGGCAGCAAATGCACCACCAGCTGCCGACAAGGCGGCCACATACTGGGGTAGGGTTTTTGAGGTGGACTCACTTGTATGAACCATGGTGTCGAGTAGCGAATCCTGATCCTGTAACGAGAAAAGGTGTAAAATAGAATAATTAGTATTTGTTTGATACCTAAAAAATTTGTGGCATTAACTTGTTTTGAATTAGACTGAGAAAAACGTTTTTCCTCTGCATCGATCGAATTGTAATGACCAAACTAAAGGTAAGCGAATAACATTGAGTGATAACTTGTCACTGCGTGTTAAATGTAGGTAAGGCAGAGGCGTGGGCTAATAGAGTTGATGATGGGTATCTCCCGATATTCGGTATTTTGTTGATTTTAGTCACATTTTCATTGGAATTGTCTGAAATTCTACTCAAGAAGTTCCTTATTGCTACTATACCCTCTGAAAAATAACTGCCTATATCGGTCCACTATATCGTATATCCCCCATATAAATGTACCTCTAGATATTCGGTATTTTAATGATTTTAGCCAAATTATTGAATGTAATTGTCTGAAATTCTACAAGAGGAGTTCTCTGAGGGCATTTTACCCCCTGAAAAAGAGTTGTCTATATCGGTCCACGATATCGTATATCCCCCATATAAATGTTCCTCCCGATATTCGGTATTTTGGTGATTTTAACCACATTATTGATTGGAATAGTCTGAAATTCTACGCAAGAAGTTCTTTGTGACTACTAAACCCCCTGAAAGAGAATTTTCTATATCGATCTACGATATCGTATATCCCTCATATAACTGTACCTCCCGACATTCCGTATTTTGATGAATTTAGCCGCATTTTTCAATGGCATTGTCTGAAATTTTACACAAGGAATTCCTTGTGAGTACTTTACCACCAGGAAGAGAATTTTTTATATATGTCCACTATATCGTATAGCCCCCATATAACTGTACCTTCCGATATTCGGTATTTTGATGATTTTAGCCACATTTTTCATTATCTGAAATTATACAAAAGGAGTTCTCTGTGAGTACTTTACCCCCTGGAAGAGAATTGTCTATATAGGTCCAGGTTTTAGTATAGCACCCATACAACGCTACCCCGAGATATTCGGTATTTTGATGATTTTAGCGACATTATTCAGCGGATCTGTTTCGAATTTGGTATTTGAACTTCGCAACGGAGAGACAGAAAATTGTCTATGTTGGTCCAGGTCTTCGTATAGCCCGCATATAAATGTTTTCGGTATTTTTCGACATATTTTTTTTAATTTTTTCAATTTCCTTCCGAATGGTGGAGGGAATAAAAATGACCATTTAAATGGCGCAATTCATTAGAAAATTCTAGGTTATATTAACAACCTATAGACCCCTAGCTAAAGTAGGGTTTATTAGTTGACTATCGATTTTATTCTCGATATCGATATTTTTGCTTCTTTATCCAATGGGAATATCGATCCCCTTTCTAAAACAGAAAAAACGAAACGCCTCTGCCCTCGAATTGTCATTATTTGTTTAAGGGTTTCTGTTCTAATCATTACTAATACCCGATATTCATTTTTATGATCCCCTGATAATGGGTTGTTATTGGTGGTATGCAATTTGTTGTTTATTAGTTGCACTTCATTTCAGTACTCCGTGGAACTTAAAACTTGACGTCAAAATAAAAATGTTGTCCAATTGCATGGCCATATCTCAATTTTAATAGAAAAACTTAACTAAAACTGAGTCATGAAATCTTTTGGGTCACGCCTCCAACTGATCAAGGTTATGGCCAACTTATGGTATTTCATGAAACGCATTCTAATAGCCATCATCATTTTTCCGTTATCACTTCAATAATGTCAATATCATTTCGAATTACATACATCTACCGCCATTTGATGATAGAAATTATTCGTAGGTAGGTTGAATTTTACAACTGATATATTGTGACATTTACACAATACCTCAGATCGCTATCAATAGGTTATTTGTTTATCTAATAAATTTACTATTTGTTGTTCGATTTCATGTCAGTATTTCCCCATAAAATGTGTTCACAAGCAAAAAAAAAATTTCATTTGAAGTTCTCCAAAGGGTGCTTGTAACAAAACACAAGAGGATTAGTAAAAAGTAATCCCTGGTAAAACAAAAGGAAAACACTTGGAATGGAATATTTTGATGAGAGCCTCAAGGAATCTAGAGTGTAACAGATTTTCATATTAACAAAATTCTAGGAAAGTTTGAATGTGTTTTTTTTTTTTTTTTTTTTTTTTTAATAAGAGAAGAAGAACAAAATTGTCCACAAGCCTCTTTCGTTTTAGGAAAAAAAAATTATGGGACTCCCTTTAGTGAATAGGACAGTCAAGTCAGTGGTTCAATAGCTTTATAGGGGTTTGTAGATTTTAATATTGAGCAAATGCTAGGAAATTTGATATAGTGGTGCACAGATTTATTGAAAAAATCAGAGAAGAAGAAAAACTTGTCGCAAGCCTCTTTTATTTAAGAAAAGTACAAAACAAGCCTGCCTTCAGTGAATAGGAAAGTCAAGTCAGTAGTTCAATAGCTTTATAGGGGTTTGCAGTTTACTGTAATACCCATGGCAGAAGAATACCGGTAGTCGCATCGACACAGCTGTTGGGACAATGAACTGTCAAACCGATTTTGGAATTGAAAATGTTGAAGGAAATATTATTGAAATTTGTAAAAATTGTTGAAAAATGCATATCATAACAGCATCCGATTTACGTCGTATAAGGAAACATACTTGGGGCATACGTTTGCTAATCTTTTTAAGGGTGGGAATACATAAAACGATTATTTGGCTTGCTTCGGAAATGAACAAAGAGCCTAGGGCCAAAATCGAACTAAGTCAACCTAAAACTCTTTTGTTCCTCTACGAAGAAGCCAGCCGAAGACTTAAGCCCGCCAAATAAGCGCTTAATGTATTCCCAGCATTAGAAGCGTTTCTGAAGCAGCTTTAAATAATTTCTCTTAAAAACGGCAATTCTGGGAACTATTGTCGTTTGTGAACTAGGCCGTGTACAATTGAACTATTCACTGTAAGGAGCACAGAACTAAAAACGCATCTTAAAGTTATTAAAGAACAATTCTGACTGACTGATTATGTTCCTAAGATGCACTGAAAGGGGCTATGAAAAGACCTAAGAGCACGTATTAAAATGAGTAAAAAAGCAGTAAGTTCGGCCGGGCCGGAAATTGAATACCCTCCACCATTTGGAACTAATTTGGAAATTTTCCGTTATTTTTTTTTTTTTTTAAATCTTAAAAATACCGATTATAGCCATTATATTGGTGTCCATACGAAGACGAGGACCTGGACATATTCAAATACGAAACTTGAAAAAGAAGAATCCGGTAAATAAAGTAGAAAAAATCATCGAAACACCGAACATAGGGAGGTAGCGTTATATCGGGCCTATATGATGACCTGGACCAAAATAGACAATTTTCTGTTACAGGCTGTAGAACATATTAGGAACAAACAATTTCGGTGAATACTGTACCTAGAATTGTCAAAATACCGAATATAGGAAAATACTGATAAATAGGGCCTATACGAAGACCTGGATCTGCATAGACAGTTTTCTGGCATAGGCTGTAGTATTCATTGCGAACTTACAATACCAAATTTGAGACAATTCCGGTTAATAATGTCGGTAAAATCAACGAAACACCGAATGTATTGAGGTACCGTTATATGGGGGCTATACGAAAACCTGGACCTGCATAGACCATTTTCTGTCGCAGGCTGTAGCACCAATTAGGAATTTCAAATACGAAATTTGACTCCTCAAAATACCGAATATCGGGATATACTGTTATATGGGGGCTATACGAAGACCTGGACCTGCATAGATAATTCTCTGCCACAGGCAATAGTACCTTTTAGGAATTTTAAATACGAAAACAATTCCGGTGAAAAATGTCGGTAAAATCATCAAAATACCGAATAGAGGGAGGTACTGGTATGTGGGGCCTATACGAAGACCTGGACCTGCATAGACAATTTTCTGTCACAGGCTGTAGAACTTTTTAGGACCTTCAAATACGAAATCTCAAACAATTTCGGAGAATATTGTACCTTTAATCGTCAAAATACCGAATATAGGGAGGTACCGTTATATCGGGGCTATATGAAGACCTGGGCCTGCATAGACAATTTTCTGGCACAGGCTATGGAACATATTAGGAACTTCAAATACCAAATTTGAAACAATTTCGGTGAATATTGTACCTAAAATCGTCCAAAATACCGAATATTGGTAGCTACCATCATATGGGGGCTGTATCTAGACGTGGACCCACATATACTATATTCCGACACTGGAGATAGAACCCCTTACAAACTACAAATACCAATTTTTAAACAAATCTGTAAAAATAATGTGGCAAAAATCATCAAAATACGGAATGTCGGTAGGTACCGTTATATGGCGGCTATACAAAGTCGTGGACCTATAAGTACAATGTTTCGCCACCGGTTCTAGAATCCATTATGACTTTCAAGTACCAATTTTCGACAAATCCATGAAAAAATGTGGTAAAAATCATCAAAATGTCGAAAATCGGGAGGCCGATATACCAAAACGTGGACCGATAAATCTCATTTTCAGTACCAATCATCCTAGACATAATACAAATTGTTCTGCCAAATTTTAGAGCTCTACGTCAAATAATGTGGGCTGTACCGTGATTTCAACAGACAGAAAGACAGACGAACATCGTTAAATCGACTTAGATCATGAATATATGGGGTCTACGACAAATATTTAGAGATGTTACAAACGGAATAACAAAGTTAATATACCCTCCCTTTCAAAATGGAGGATATGAAAATATAATTTTTCTGAGTCCTTATTCAGATTTCTCTGGGGTGTAAAAGTTTTAATAACGGCTCTTCGGCATTTGAATTATCAAATGTAGGAGCTTTTCCATGATAAAACAATGTTATTAACATTTCCCCTAACATTGCTGCACAATGTTAACTAAAAAGAGCTTTACATGATTCTGCAATTGCAGCTTTTGATGGTCAAGGTAAACAAGGGGGAAGCTCGCACAACAACAACAACAACAGCGACAACGACGACAAAACCCGTTATGGCAAAAA